TCGAGTTCGAACTGCTCTGGGGCGAGTTCGAACGCGAGTTGGAACTGTGTCACCGCCAGTTCGAACTCGAGTTCGAGCATGTGGACCGCGAGTCCGGACTCAGAAAGCTTGTTTTTTTTTTTCCCGGGGGGGGGTGCGAGTTCGAGTTCGAGTTCGAGTTCGACGCGGACGCCGCCAGGTCAAAATCGAGTTCGAACTGCTCTGGGGCGAGTTCGAACGCGAGTTCGAACTGTGTCACCGCCATTTCGAACTCGAGTTCGAGCATGTGGACCGCGAGTCCGGAGTCAGAAAGCTTTGTTTTTTTTTCCGAACTCTCACTTCCAACCACCTTTTTGAATTTGTTTTGCTAATTTCCTGGTGCCCAACGTCCAACATCCAATAAATTTCCCCCTCTGATAGCCAAGTAAGAAAATTATTTCCTGGATGCTTGCGTTGGTAACATGCCATATCTCCCCCCCTCAATCTGATACGGAAAAAAATTAATTCCTGGCACCTGACTTCCCGGCTGACAGCTCGCAGTCTTTCAGAGCTTGACCGTGAATGCATACTCGGAAAGGTTTTTTTTTTTCCTCTCCGGGGGGGGGTCGAGTTCGAGTTCGAGTTCGAGTTCGACGCGGCCGCCGCCAGGTCAAAATCGAGTTCGAACTGCTCTGGGGCGAGTTCGAAGGCGAGTTCGAACTGTGTCACCGCCAGTTCGAACTGGAGTTCGAGCATGTGGACCGCGAGTCCGGACTCAGAAAGCTTGTTTTTTTTTTCCCGGGGGGGGGTGTGCGAGTTCGAGTTCGAGTTCGACGCGGACGCCGCCAGGTCAAAATCGAGTTCGAACTGCTCTGGGGCGAGTTCGAACGCGAGTTCGAACTGTGTCACCGCCAGTTCGAACTCGAGTTCGAGCATGTGGACCGCGAGTCCGGAGTCAGAAAGCTTTGTTTTTTTTTCCGAACTCTCACTTCCAACCACCTTTTTGAATTTGTTTTGCTAATTTCCTGGTGCCCAACGTCCAACATCCAATAAATTTACCCCTCTGATAGCCAAGTAAGAAAATTATTTCCTGGATGCTTGCGTTGGTAACATGCCATATCTCCCCCCCTCAATCTGATACGGAAAAAAAGTAATTCCTGGCACCTAACTTCCCGGCTGACAGCTCGCAGTCTTTCAGAGCTTGACCGTGAATGCATACTCGGAAAGGTTTTTTTTTCCCCTCCGGGGGGGGTCGAGTTCGAGTTCGAGTTCGAGTTCGGCGCGGCCGCCGCCAGGTCAAAATCGAGTTCGAACTGCTCTGGGGCGAGTTCGAACGCGAGTTTGAACTGTGTCACCGCCAGTTCGAACTCGAGTTCGAGCATGTGGACCGCGAGTCCGGACTCAGAAAGCTTGTTTTTTTTTCCGAACTCTCACTTCCAACCACCTTTTGAATTTGTTTTGCTAATTTCCTGGTGCCCAACGTCCAACATCCAATAAATTTACCCCTCTGATAGCCAAGTAAGAAAATTATTTCCTGGATGCTTGCGTTGGTAACATGCCATATCTCCCCCCCTCAATCTGATACGGAAAAAAATTAATTCCTGGCACCTGACTTCCCGGCTGACAGCTCGCAGTCTTTCAGAGCTTGACCGTGAATGCATACTCGGAAAGGTTTTTTTTTTCCCTCCGGGGGGGGGGCGAGTTCGAGTTCGAGTTCGACGCGGCCGCCGCCAGGTCAAAATCGAGTTCGAACTGCTCTGGGGCGAGTTCGAACGCGAGTTCGAACTGTGTCACCGCCAGTTCGAACTCGAGTTCGAGCATGTGGACCGCGAGTCCGGACTCAGAAAGCTTGTTTTTTTTTCCGAACTCTCACTTCCAACCACCTTTTTGAATTTGTTTTGCTAATTTCCTGGTGCCCAACGTCCAACATCCAATAAATTTACCCCTCTGATAGCCAAGTAAGAAAATTATTTCCTGGATGCTTGCGTTGGTAACATGCCATATCTCCCCCCTCAATCTGATACGGAAAAAAATTAATTCCTGGCACCTGACTTCCCGGCTGACAGCTCGCAGTCTTTCAGAGCTTGACCGTGAATGCATACTCGGAAAGGTTTGTTTTTTTTTTCCCTCCGGGGGGGGGGGCGAGTTCGAGTTCGAGTTCGACGCGGCCGCCGCCAGGTCAAAATCGAGTTCGAACTGCTCTGGGGCGAGTTCGAACGCGAGTTCGAACTGTGTCATTCTCGATTTGTCGGGGCTAAGTTTGCCGAAGGTCATTGATTTCCTGGGGGTTGATGGCTTGACATGGTGTGCAGCCAGTTGCCGTCTAAATTTGGTCATTGTCTCGTAAAACAAGCAGCATCCAACCATACAGCTTGGATGTTTTTTTTTCGTTCCGCTCGGAGCGATGATATGCAAACTATACGAAGCGTCGTTGCTTGGCGAAATGAAACTTAGTTGCCTTAGATTGGACATGATTTCAAGATCCCTCAGTACTTTAACGTGGGGTGTGGGCCTAGAAAAAAATCGGTCTAAAATGATGACCCCTAACCTTTGAGAGAGGTTTTGAAGCTTTAAATTCCTGGCCCCTAACCTCTGAAGCCGAACTCTCACTTCCAACCACCTTTTTGAATTTGTTTTGCTAATTTCCTGGTGCCCAACGTCCAACATCCAATAAATTTACCCCTCTGATAGCCAAGTAAGAAAATTATTTCCTGGATGCTTGCGTTGGTAACATGCCATATCTCCCCCCCTCAATCTGATACGGAAAAAAATTAATTCCTGGCACCTGACTTCCCGGCTGACAGCTCGCAGTCTTTCAGAGCTTGACCGTGAATGTATACTCGGAAAGGTTTTTTTTTTCTCTCCGGGGGGGGGGGTCGAGTTCGAGTTCGAGTTCGAGTTCGACGCGGCCGCCGCCAGGTCAAAATCGAGTTCGAACTGCTCTGGGGCGAGTTCGAAGGCGAGTTCGAACTGTGTCACCGCCACTTCGAACTGGAGTTCGAGCATGTGGACCGCGAGTCCGGACTCAGAAAGCTTGTTTTTTTTTCCCGGGGGGGGGGTGCGAGTTCGAGTTCGAGTTCGACGCGGACGCCGCCAGGTCAAAATCGAGTTCGAACTGCTCTGGGGCGAGTTCGAACGCGAGTTCGAACTGTGTCACCGCCAGTTCGAACTCGAGTTCGAGCATGTGGACCGCGAGTCCGGACTCAGAAAGCTTTGTTTTTTTTTCCGAACTCTCACTTCCAACCACCTTTTTGAATTTGTTTTGCTAATTTCCTGGTGCCCAACGTCCAACATCCAATAAATTTACCCCTCTGATAGCCAAGTAAGAAAATTATTTCCTGGATGCTTGCGTTGGTAACATGCCATATCTCCCCCCCTCAATCTGATACGGAAAAAAATTAATTCCTGGCACCTGACTTCCCGGCTGACAGCTCGCAGTCTTTCAGAGCTTGACCGTGAATGCATACTCGGAAAGGTTTTTTTTTTTCTCTCCGGGGGGGGGGTCGAGTTCGAGTTCGAGTTCGACGCGGCCGCCGCCAGGTCAAAATCGAGTTCGAACTGCTCTGGGGCGAGTTCGAAGGCGAGTTCGAACTGTGTCACCGCCAGTTCGAACTGGAGTTCGAGCATGTGGACCGCGAGTCCGGACTCAGAAAGCTTGTTTTTTTTTTCCCGGGGGGGGGGTGCGAGTTCGAGTTCGAGTTCGAGTTCGACGCGGACGCCGCCAGGTCAAAATCGAGTTCGAACTGCTCTGGGGCGAGTTCGAACGCGAGTTCGAACTGTGTCACCGCCAGTTCGAACTCGAGTTCGAGCATGTGGACCGCGAGTCCGGACTCAGAAAGCTTTGTTTTTTTTTCCGAACTCTCACTTCCAACCACCTTTTTGAATTTGTTTTGCTAATTTCCTGGTGCCCAACGTCCAACATCCAATAAATTTACCCCTCTGATAGCCAAGTAAGAAAATTATTTCCTGGATGCTTGCGTTGGTAACATGCCATATCTCCCCCCCTCAATCTGATACGGAAAAAAATTAATTCCTGGCACCTGACTTCCCGGCTGACAGCTCGCAGTCTTTCAGAGCTTGACCGTGAATGCATACTCGGAAAGGTTTTTTTTTTTTTCCCTCCGGGGGGGGGGTCGAGTTCGAGTTCGAGTTCGACGCGGCCGCCGCCAGGTCAAAATCGAGTTCGAACTGCTCTGGGGCGAGTTCGAACGCGAGTTCGAACTGTGTCACCGCCAGTTCGAACTCGAGTTCGAGCATGTGGACCGCGAGTCCGGACTCAGAAAGCTTTGTTTTTTTTTCCGAACTCTCACTTCCAACCACCTTTTTGAATTTGTTTTGCTAATTTCCTGGTGCCCAACGTCCAACATCCAATAAATTTACCCCTCTGATAGCCAAGTAAGAAAATTATTTCCTGGATGCTTGCGTTGGTAACATGCCATATCTCCCCCCTCAATCTGATACGGAAAAAAATTAATTCCTGGCACCTGACTTCCCGGCTGACAGCTCGCAGTCTTTCAGAGCTTGACCGTGAATGCATACTCGGAAAGGTTTTTTTTTTCTCTCCGGGGGGGGGGTCGAGTTCGAGTTCGAGTTCGAGTTCGAGTTCGACGCGGCCGCCGCCAGGTCAAAATCGAGTTCGAACTGCTCTGGGGCGAGTTCGAAGGCGAGTTCGAACTGTGTCACCGCCAGTTCGAACTGGAGTTCGAGCATGTGGACCGCGAGTCCGGACTCAGAAAGCTTGTTTTTTTTTTCCCGGGGGGGGGTGTGCGAGTTCGAGTTCGAGTTCGACGCGGACGCCGCCAGGTCAAAATCGAGTTCGAACTGCTCTGGGGCGAGTTCGAACGCGAGTTCGAACTGTGTCACCGCCAGTTCGAACTCGAGTTCGAGCATGTGGACCGCGAGTCCGGACTCAGAAAGCTTGTTTTTTTTTCCCGGGGGGGGGTGCGAGTTCGAGTTCGAGTTCGAGTTCGACGCGGACGCCGCCAGGTCAAAATCGAGTTCGAACTGCTCTGGGGCGAGTTCGAACGCGAGTTCGAACTGTGTCACCGCCAGTTCGAACTCGAGTTCGAGCATGTGGACCGCGAGTCCGGACTCAGAAAGCTTGGTTTTTTTTTCCGGGGGGGGGGGGTTCGAGTTCGAGTTCGAGTTCGAGCGGGGCTCACTATGACTCGTTGCACTCGTAGCAGTCGTTGCTCTGGCCTGACGCTGATCCACACCAAGACGATAGCGTAGACGACCACGACCAACACCAAGACCCAGGCCTTGGGCGGGGACGTGACCAGCGAACACGGCGAACGCAGAAATTGCTGCTTTTTTGGTGGTGTCATTGTGTCATCATGTCATTTTGTGTCAAAAGATTAGCAATTTACTCTGAAAATCTGACAACCGCTTCACTGTTCCAAACAACTTCCGGTGAATATGAGGTCCATGTTCGAAACATCTTGTTGCAAACGGGAAACCATCAAGGCTCCACAGTTAAAACCTGAGGTCAGCTTCGCCTCAGCAAAAAAAAGAAAGCCACTGCCAGGTCGATAGACACAGCGGCTCGGAAACTTCTTCCAGCTGCACAGCTGCAGCGACATCAGCGATTTCCACTGTGCCAAGTTGCCCAACCAGCGCCATGGCGAAGTTCGTTGAATAACCCCGGTATTTTGGATGCAGCCACCAACAAGCCAATGATCATTGAGGAGACGTTCTTCATGCGTGCACCGCCATCTCAGCAATGGTCAGGCCATACTCAAAACGGGCGAATGCCAGTGGCTTTGTTGCAACGGTGGTCAGATCTGATTTCCAAGTTGTCATGGAAAAGCATTGAAAAGCTTCAGAATGTTTGAAAACAAGACTGCACTGCCATTTTTGTGTCTGGCTCACCTGACATCAAATTCCTGGGGTCTGGACCGGTAAAATCAAAGGTAAGCGAAAAGAAGGACGTCTGCAGCCACAACTGCAACCTGGGAAGCTGTCAAGCTGTGAATGTGTGAAAACGATTTTTTTCGGCTTCAAGGCTTTCAGGTGAAAGTGGCTAAACTGGCTGACCTCTTCCATGCACTTGAACAACAGAGCAGATTTTGCGGATTTTAAAGCTGTGGAGCAGATTTTCGAAGACCAATCTCGTCATTGTCACCTGAAACGACAACAGTTGCACTGGGCATTGCATGGAGAAAACATGGGCCCAGGTGGCGTTTCTCCTGTGGCTGGCATAGCGCTTGGGTGTGTGGGGGGGGTTCTGGGTTCAAACTCAGCATGCACCAGCACGATCTGTGGGCTATCTTGCGGACCGCATGGTGCTCTCTTCAGCCAAGTCGCGAAAATGAGTCTTTCATTAGCCTCTCCTTAGCTCCGCCAGAATCGTTTGAACTTGTAAGACCTTGTCAGTGAGTGCTGTGGCAGAAACCAATTAAATCATATCAGATTAAATCCATTGAATTTGTCCGTAGAGATTCCACACAAAAACTGATCACGAAAATTCGATTTGAACATCGCCATTGAGACCAGGGTCCTTCGGTGAGGGCCTGTTCAAAAACGCCAAATCCACAGTAGAGTGCTACGCTCACCTCATCGTTCCTTGGAGCACGGCCACTATCAAGGCCTCCAAGGTGCCATGATGAAGAAGGTGCATGTAGATGTGTCTATGCAGAATCATGTAATATCATGTGCTTTCAGTATCATGTATATAAATATTGTATATATGTATATATGTATATGATATATATATATAGAGATTATGGATGTGTACAAAACTTAAAGGAGAAAATACAGCATGATATAGACGATGCACCCAAGTCCGAGGCAAATTCGAAATTCGCTCTATGAGCACTCCTTACTCATGTGCCATCGCAGAATGCTGTCTGTATAAGGCTATTCCATGGATTTCCATGGACCCTTTTGCAAGGCAAGGCACACACACCACTGTTTCCAGACGGCCCACTGTTTGGAGAACCAGCCTCCGAAAATCTTCGAAATATGACAAAGTCATCACAGATTTCGAGGGTCAGATTCTGACGTCTGGGACTCAAATGAAGATGACATGCTGCCGCCTGCCTAGAAGAGCAAAGTTTGCAAGGACCGCAACGAGGACAATAACGCCTCAGCTGCACAACGGGCCATGTTTTCCAAGGAACTAGACTAACTAGACGTCCCCTAATATCCACAATCCGTCTCAATCCGTCTCAATCCGTCTCAATCCGTCTCAATCCGTCTCAATCCGACATACCCCCGGCGCTTGTGGATGGGCCCCAAAACAAAACGATGCTTTAAGCAAATGATGGAGGCCTGCCAGCCAACCCCAATGCAAAGTCAAGTACATCCCGAAGGCGAGCAGTGTCGTAGTGATAAGTGCAAAAAAGGGTGCTTGTCCTCAGCAACATGTTGCAACATGTTGCAACACCATGAAACAGTGCATGATCATCATGTATACATGAAACTGGTCGTTGACCAGTTTCAATCACCGGGTGAATCCGTCAATTCCATAGACTTTAAATTGTTCTGATCGATTTCACTGAAAAGCTCGTGATATTTTGCATGGCCATCTCGAAACTGCCAAGCATGGCCAAGCATGATATCCACTCAGCACTGTCCTGTAAGCTGTGGAATGTAGGCAAAGCTGATGAAGCAAAACAGCGCCAATCCACTGAAGGTCAACTCCTTGGCACCAAAGGTGTGCTGTTGAACTGTTCATCGGAAGTGTGAACAAAAACGACTGTGATCGGACCAAAAAACTAGTAACTAGGGACCCAAAACAGTGCATCAAAATATATCAAAATTGTCTACTTTTGCAATTTCTGACAAAAAAAAATCTGCAGGAGCGTTCCCTGTTGGATACCCCTTGACTCCCAGAGATATCCAATCCATTCACTGCCCAGCAGCTCGAATCGTGAATGCCAGCTCACTACTGGCCCCAGGAATCGCTTCCCAACTTGACCTTCAAAACTTGGCCAAAAAGGCTACAGGCAAGCCCCATCAATTCCCATCAATTCTCATCATGTGAGTCATTTTATGTTACAACTGTTACAAACTAAATATGCTAAATCCATCCAAAGTCAACGTAGTCAACGTAGTCAGCTCAGGCCAAGCTGCTCGTATTGCCAAGAGATGCGGTCGGTACAAGCCGCCGCACTGCCCACAAACATGGCGTCTGTTGCCATGTCCATGTGATCCAAAATCAAGAAGAACACCAGGATGGGCCCCCACAAGAAAAAGTCCTCGCGGTCGGTGTTCGGATGTGGAGCATCATCACTGAAGCTTTTTGGCTATCTCTAAATCATGCTAAATCGAATCAAAATCCAATTGTCAAATCCTGCTAGCTGGCTAAATCATGTAAAATCCATCTTGAGCAACACTCTGAGCTGACTCTGCTGGCCGGATGTCCATGGGCCTTGCTGCAGTCGCAGAAGGCCACCTTCTTTTGGCTCTTCGATTTTGCGATGATCATCAAAGCGATATGCGCCTCGAAGCACGTCGGATTGGGTGTCGAATTGGGTGTCGAATGATGATTTAATCATATTTAATCCATGAAAAACACAGCAACATCGAAGCAGAAAGTGATTGGATAAAAGATGTGTACCATGTGGAGAATGCAACACCGTAGCATCGCGTAGCTCCATGTAGCTCCAAAGTTGGTAGCTCCAAAGTTGGGCCCAGGTCTCGTCCAAGGCACTGCCAGGAAGCAGCCATACACGACATATCCAATACTGGGAGGTCCGCCTGGCACGGAGAAGTCAAGGCAAGTTGGGATGAAGTGGTGAACCAAAATTCGATAATGGTCAAGCGTGTCTGTTTTCAAGAATCATGATAGATTCTATCAGATACTATCTATAAAATTCATTAAAATTCTACAAACACTTGTGTATACATAGTATACGGCCTTTCCACCAGCATCCACCAGCCAAACCCAAATTGACACAGTGGGCGGTGCCTTCGCATGTAGCATCTTTCGCAAGAAAGAGCATGGTCAATGGCATGGCTATCCAATGCAGGAAGGCAGCCGTCCAGTAATACCAAGCGACCGTATACTTTTCCTTGCAAAGCTTCATGAGCAAAATCCAACATCATGCAAATATGATGCACCTATAGTGTAGGTCACGGCCAAAAGCATTCCAAGATACAGAAAATTGGGATTTGCTAGAAGACATGTACAAGACATGCTGGATGTTGGTCTAGATCCTTCTCAGTGAGGATCTTTGGGTCAAGCTGATAAATTGCACCAACTGCAAAGGCATGAGCAGGGCAAACAAGTCAAACAACATGTTTTCTATCTATTTTCTAATTCTATCTTAAAGATTCTTAAGGTAATGTGGTATAGGAATGTATAGGACATGTCTAGACTCGGTGTTGACTCCTGACCTGCACTCCAGAAATCATGAGAACATCTAGTGTCTTAAACCACTGGGATCAACACCTTGGAGATTCTGAAATACAGGAAGGTCCTATAGATTCCTATAGTGTTCATCTTTTATCATCTTTTATCTATGTCAATCTATGTGTTCACATGACCTTTGTTTTATGCAAGTTTTATCCATGATCTGATCGAAAAACGATCGAATCAGAACAGTTGGTTCCACCAGAAACATAGCAAAGCCGACAAAGAGCCTCAAGTGCCACAAGCAGCTCAACTTTGAAGCAAGATACGGTTTGAAAAGCACTGTAACCGTCCTTCTTATCCAAAAGGCCAGCAAAACCACAGACGAACCAGACGTATGCGATGACAACGAGAACCGTGCAAGCTCCTTGGAGCACAACATGCTGAAATATGCTCACAATGCTGACCAATCAGCCCGTTTCCCCCACTGACAATCGGCTGCATCAATGAGAGGATTCAGGTTGCTAAAGCCTCGGTGGACACGTGCGAAAGGATTCAATTTTTGATGTGTTGAAATCACAAAGTCAAGACAGTCAAGAGTCAAAGAAAAATCCCTCTCTTTCGTCAACCCCCTGCCATTTTGTTTCTCGTTCACGTTCAGACTGTCTCATCTCCTGACCTCCCTTCCAACTCGTTCTTTCCTTTCCACAATGCTAAACTCACTTCAACTTTGTTTTCAAGGCCCATGTTAAAACCATAGGAAAAAGTCATGACACATTGGTTGTGGGACCTCAGGTAGAGCCACAAAGGCTGCCGCAAAGCCTCCAATGACTTTCATCGGAACGTGCATGCCGAAATAGATGCCCTCAGCCAAGGAGCCCGAAGGAGCCCGAAGGAGCCCGCCAAACCCATGACTTTAAATTTGAAAACAGATCTGTGAGCGATAAACAAATGAAACAAGCTATGCCGCCATTGGGCCATGGGAAATGTTTTGCTATGGCACCCCAACGACCACACCACTCACGTCACTCAATATCTGCACATGTTTCAACTGGTCCGCAAGCTCATCTGGGCAGACCTCCTGTGAGTCCTGTGCTACCGCATGGGGTTTCTGTCGCCTGTGCGTACCCAACTGGGGTGTAGCACCTGCCCTTAGGGCCTTAGGAGTATTGACACACATGGCACCAGCCGCACCACTGCAGACAAGACTCGGATTTGAAATTGTGTTCCTGATGATGCTCCGCAACCCGGTTTCCCAATTTCCCTATGTGTCCACTGGTGGAGAAGCAAGAGGGATTTGGGATACACAGGGACACCTAAGCCCTGTTTGATTGATGGTGATAAGACGGCCCTTCTGAAGACATTGGTTTTCTCTTCTGAACACAACAGGGTTTTTGGTCCAAGCATCCTTTCCCTCTTTTTCAACTTCTTTCACCACTTTGTCAACCTCCTCCTGAAAGCTGAGTAAGAAAAGAGCTTGGAACATGTCTAAAATTGGGAACTCTCCTATGGAAGTTTCTTACCACCTTTATCAGGGGAAAGCTTCTAGAGAAGGAAGACGGCTGGGTTTTCAGGTGCAACTTGTGGATTCCATCACTTTGGAGCCATTCGCTCTGCTGCCAAGCTTCATCGTCCTGCTCTTTAGTCTTTTCAGTCTCTTCGGTCTCTTCGGTCTCTTCAGCCTTTTCAGCCTTTTCAGCCTTCCTTGGCGTCAGTGCGGAAGGCCCTGTCCCACCAGTGCAGCTAGGTCAGCTAAGCAGGTCTATATTCCAAAGTTGACCCATTATCCCATACAATCACCGTTACTATCCTACATATTCCTACATAACTGCTACATAAGTCATGTAGGATAACCAAAACATACCAAAACATACCAAAACTCTACCCCCCTTTTTCATCCTTTTCTCTCACCTTTTCCCATCGTTTCTGCCGTGCCACTGATCCAACTGGATGAGTTCCTTCTCGATGGCCAGGCCCCGGCCGAGGCTCTCGAGGCTCTCGAGGCCAGACTCGCTGGAGGATAGCCATGGAACGGCCAGGAGGGCAACGAGACGCAGCAATGCCATGGCGATTTCTACGGCAAAATCTCAAGGATATTTAGCACAAAAAATGGAACAAGGAATGAGTTTTTTTGAATGTTGAAGACGATTATCTGAGGATGCTGGTTTCCCTTGGTCCGTTATTGGAGCTTGCGCCTGTTCTCGCAATACATATGCAACGGCACTGACAAATAGGTACCTGAGTGAAGGATGAGCCGTCAGTGAGCAATACTTCAGGAAGGACCATTTCAAAGTTCTCATGCCACTCTGCCATTCTAATCCAGTGGAATTTCTCCTTTGGGACCTCATCCTTGCCGTCCTTGCCGTCCTTGCCGTCCTTGCCGTCCTTGCCGTCCTTGCCCCCGGTTCCAGTTGGCCGCGCCTCCATTGACTTTGGTGCGAAAAGCAGCAGCAACCAATCGAAGGTGCCTTTCAGCACGGGTGACGAGGAGGTGATTCTCAGGTGTTGGGACCGATTGGGACCGATGGTAATCCAACTCAAGACAACTATTCATTCACTGAATGACATGATATGACATGTAGATTGTTGATAGTCATTGTAATAGTCTGATAGTGAGATAGTACGTGTGGTTCGATGTGCAACATACACAACATATCACAACATCAAAAACAGAAACAAGGACCCTCCCTTGGTCGCGCCATCAAGTGCTGCAGCCCGCGTGGCATCGAAGACGGCCACGGGTGACAAAACCTCCCGGATCCAGAGGTTGCCGCGGCAATTGCCGGAAAAACTCACAAAGGAAATTCATGGAAATTCCACTATCTAGCAAAACACCCAAAACTAAAAACAATCTTGACCCCACTGGAAACATCAATTAACATCAATTAAGAATAATTAATAATTAAGATCAATTAACCCCTTCATCTGTGCATCCGAGATGGTCCAAGGTGTCGTTTCCGCCCATGTTTCAGTTCCTGCGCCTGTCGTTCACACCAGGCACAAAAAGATTCGACTTGATCCCGCCACGGAGCTCCTTGCCTCGTCCCGAAATCCCATGCCATGCTGCGATGCCACGATGCCATGCCGGGCCAAAATCCCATGGCCTCCAGGTCCAACTCGCCCAGGGTTTCGATGGCGATGAGCCACCTTCCTGGCGCGGAAGCGTCGGTCTTGCTGTGGTCGCTGCACCATGTTGCATGATGTCTGTTGATGTTGCAGCCTGGTACACCACAAAGCCACCAGAGGGCGCCTCAATGCGTCCATTTCAGGTCAATCTGTGACAAGAGTTCACAAAATGCACAGCATCAACCCGAATCTCTAGCCAGACTAGCCAGACTAGCCAGACTTCAGCGTTGTTTTGACGTTTCTCTACATGGCTTGGGTCACCACAAAGTCGCATGCATCGTCAGAACGCACATAGACGATGGCTTCTTCGGGCCTTGGAGCCATTCAAGAGCTGTCGCAGAGCTGAAAACGGGAGCATCATGAGGCATCATGAATATCATGAGCCAACAGTCAACACATCAAGCTTTGCCACTGTATTTTGTCCTGGAATGTCCTGAATATCTTGAGAAGTTCTTCCCTGGTTTGGAAGTTGAGCTTGGTCACTCAGGATCTGAGTACTTGATCTCCTGATGGCAACAAATGCTACAAACAAATACCTTCAGCACTGCAGAACAAGTAAATCTGCGGATCAAGACAAAGGAAAATCAAATCTGGCGTGCAATTGCGGCTTTTTGTCAGATGTCCTGTTTTAGCATCTGCCCTTGCTGCACCTCTTTGATTCGCAAGGCCTATGCACAACTGGAACTAAAATGGCCAAGATGGAAACTCGCTGGATTTTCTCACCATGCCTCGCTGCCAAACTCAAGGCCAGCCCAACGCCAGAGCTCCTGAGGGTGCGAGCTGGCTTGGTCCCGAATCCGGCGTGATGATCGTGATGATCAAGTCATAGGATTTATATGGATTTATGCAAGGTATGTGTAGGACGTGTAGGATGTAGACGTGATCAGTCGTGATCCTCAGAACCGATTCACAGGCCTTAGCATAGCTGCGGACCAACATCATAGTTTCTAGGCACGAAAATGTATGCAATCAGTGTGTCATTCAAATGAAAGACTCCCTGGATGAGTATGAGCGTGAGAGTGAGGGTGATCTACCGTCAGAAGAGTCCTTTTCTGACTCGTTTTTGCTTTCGTTGCCCCACCTGCAAGAAATGAATTTGGGTTCAACAGGTTCAACGGGTTCAACGGGTTCAACGGGTTCAACGGGTTCAACGGGTTCAACGGGTTCAACGGGTTCATCCAGAACAGATCAAAGCACAAAGATCGACCAAATCGAACAAATCACTTGGCAGGACTTGGTCGGACAAAATGACACCCTGACCTTGCAAAGGCATAGGCGCGGTCATGTCGCCGCAGGCAATCCAAGGGCCACAGCTCCTGAAGGGGCTTAGCGGCTTCGCGATGCTTAGCAGCTTCACATCGGAAGCTGCATGGATTTTGGTTTCATGAAGTCCAAGTGAATCAAGTTTCATGATAAGCGACTGAGATTGCTGAAGGAGTTGCAGGGCGCCAGTTTTAAAACCAAAATGGCGTCATGCCCTTTTTTCCAATCCTTTGTGGTGCTCGAACTTCCCCCAAATTGCTCCCCACCTGCAAGGGCCCCGCATGCTGTGGCGATCGGAAGAAGCCCACCTGGACGACCGTGGCTTCTCCATGGGCACAGCTCCGGAGCACAGCTCGGTCCCTCGGTCCCCGGCAAAGGTCCCAGCGCGGCCATTGTCCTGGACGGCCTCCTGGAGCTCTGCACGCGAGTGAACCTTCAAAGGCCACGGCCTCAACGGGACAAAGTCGGACAAAGTATGAGAAAATGAGGACAAAATGCAAAAGTCTAATGATTCTAATATGATTCAAAAGTCGTCTATATAATTTATATTCATCTATTTTATTATATTATGATTATATTATATCTATATAATGATTCAAATATGGTTATAACATGATTATAATTGCTGCGGGAACAGCTTAGTGGCTTAGTATCCCTCATCTTGTAACATGGATTTCCCCTGCCCATGGGCCCATGGTTCTGCAGTTTGATCTGAGCTGGCAACCCTGCGGTGAAGGCCACCAAGCTGGCATGTTGCAGCTGCCCAGTGAAGATGGCCTCCAACTGTTCAGCCATCTGAATCCCGGCCATGCCTGCCCGGCCATGCCATGCCTGGCTGAATCCCCTGCCTGGAGGCCAGGAAGGAGCACCTGGGTGTCTGGGAAGAACATCACCTTGGCACAGAAAAAGGATCCCGGTGATGGCCCACATGTTTCGTCGTTTCGTCGATGTTTCGAGTTGGAAAGTTGCAGAAACACAGTTTCATGTTGCTCATATCAGCTCTTGACTCGCCAAAAATTGCGGTCCTTTTGCAAACCTTGGAATCCTTGCCAGTGGCGTACGCCAAGCGCTGTAAATCTGCGCTAATCTGGTTTCCGTTGAGACATCGCACCTGGCAGGCCCATTTCAACTGCCTGACTGCTAGGATGTGGGATTCCACGATATCCAGTACCCTTTTGCAGATACCTTAAGGGCAGAAATTTGAAATGGCAACAGCTACTTGAACTGCTACAGTGCTACAGGTTTCCCATGGATTTTCAACTTGGTGTTCCCAGGATCTCAACCAAAACTCGCCAGTGGCACTGGGCTACCAGCATCGACTTGTCTCGTGCCAGGGCATCTGCAGCCTTCTCCAGTTCGGGCATCAACAGCCGACAAGCCATGCACCTCACAGTTTCAAACACGGTCACTGGATACACCAAACAAAGACAGCATAGAAACAGCATAAAAACCATCAAAATTTCTGGGCCAAACTCCAAGTACTTCAACTATAGTAACTATGGTCCAGGTCACTCTTCAAATTTCCCACATTTTCCCTTTGGTGGCGGTGTTCGATCCAACAAAAACAGGATTTGTCAGGTCCCCGCACCAGGGCGTGACAAAGGCCACCAATGCCTTCTGACTCTGTCGCAGGGTCTCGGCGAAGGTGGCCTTCCATGGGATTTCCATCAATGGCTACATCTAAACGCATGCCTCCAAATCATCCAATATCTAAAATCACTATCAATCACATTGTTCAAAAAAAACATTCAACATGGTTTGAATGGCTTGTTTCTTAAAGAAAAAGCGAAATGAATGGAAAATGATTTTTTGAATCCAATGCATCCAGCTATCCATGGCCTCAGTGAGGCTGACGATGCGCTCCGAGTTGACCTGGAGCGTCAGCAGCGCCATGAGACCTGGCGACGGGCGACGCTTCGACCATCGACAAAAATGGAACGGGATGGAAGGTCAATAGATGCCCAATGTTCAGTGATATCAATGTTCTACCTTGACAAAATTCTAGGTTTCGGTTACAAATCTCATGGAAATCTCAAGCTCAAACTGTGCCTTTTGCCAGCACCATCTGGATCACACCAGAGCCTCAGCAGGTAACATCGTTTGAATTTCTTCTCTGCACAGTCACGGTAACTTGGTTTTCAATACAGCGGAGGATCCGGAGTTCATCTTAACAGTTAACTTTCATACCACATTTCATATCACATTTCATAGCAAATGACATGACATGGATGTCAAGATACTCGTCCCTTAGCTGGCACTTTCTTCCCATTGGCAAAGCACACTCCGCCGGCTCCAACATTGTGAAGCTGGAGATTGGGCGAGCAAAGAACAACAACGGAGAATCAAAATGTGATTTTTTTAATATATATATATATAATATATATATATATATCATATATATAACTGGGCTGATGGAAAAAATAAATAAATTATATAATATATATATATATCATATAAACTGACAAGGTAAATTGAATTATTGCACCAAAAGACCATCTTTGGCCCGTATGGGATGATTTTCACATTGACACATTGGGCCGTCAGGTGCACCTGATGGCCATCCAGAATTCCAGACTCCTTTCTGTGGCCTGTAGGGAGCGCTTTACAATCCCCAAGAGCCTGGGAATCCACGGGGAATCCACGGGGACTCGTTTCCAAAAGACACGTTGCGGACATAGCTATCACTCCGAACTGGAAGAGCCTAGGTCAAGTGCTGGTTCCTTTTGGCGGCCAATCTTTGTGCCCAACGAATGCTCCGACTTTGGTATATTTGTGTTACACATCAGTCGATCATCCGTTTTGAATAGTGTACATCCTCATTATCCTTATCCATCCTTGTCTTTTCTACTCTATTCACAGACCGGCACTACTCAGAAATTTTCAAGCAATTCTCCGGCAAACGAAACATTTGCAGCAGCATGCCAGCAGCAGCTTATACGAAATCTCTTGCACTCAAATATTCAGTTGCATGCCGAAAATTCCTCTCTATCCAAACAACATGTCCTGCAAAAAGAATTTGCACCTGCCACCGGTCTTAAGCAGCCATAACTCCCTTCCCACTTCTCCCACACTCTATCAGTTTCCCCCTTCATCAACCAATACGAAATCTTGTCATTTGCAGCGGTCAAAATCCTCGGCCCTGTTTTTGCCAAAGTCACCTTCCATTTCGACCTGTGCGACATGGTCCAAACGTCAATTGATTGCATGAAAAAAATAAACATGGATCCAAGTACTTGGGTCCATGGGGCATTTGCAAAGCCAAAGACTTGTACTTGTCTCATGATCCTTTCTGTTGCCAGATACGGACGTTCCTTTCCTGCCAACCCCGTGTTTAAAAAAAAGTCATCCCACAATCCACGCAAGTCAGAGATAACTAGATTTTCAACAGCATGGTTCTTCGTCTTTCAGAATAGAACTGTGACGTTTTGAATACACATCTTGGATAGCCCCGCCTCAGCGAGTCGTCGCGCCTTCTTTCGCTTGGTCGACGAATCGACTAATCTCCTGCACATCGGATGTGGGAAGAGGGACCTCTGCACCCAATCCATGCAAGCAAATCATACTATACATATACATATACATATATATATATATATATATATGTTATTATTGTTGTTATTATTTTTATTATTTTTATTTTTACTATTATTATTATTATTATTACATATTATTATTATTATATATTTTTATTTTATTATATATTATTATTATTATTATATACAATTATTATTATTATACTATTAATATTATTATTATGTATTATTATTATATAATATTATTATTCTTGTTATTATTATTATATATTATTATTATTAATATTATTATTAAATATTATTATATATTATTATTTTATTATATATTATTATTTTATTATATATTATTATTGTTATTATTATTATTATATATTATTATTGTTATTATTATTACTATTATAATATTATTATTATTATTATTTTATATTATTATTATCACTATTCTTATTATTATTACGATTATTATATATTATTATTATGATTATATACAATTATATACAATTATTATACTATTATTATTATGTATTATTATTATATATTATTATTATTGTTATTATTATATATTATTATTATCAATATTATGATTATATATTATTATTGTTATTATTATTTTTACTATTATTATTATATATTATTATTATTAATATTATTATTATTATTTTATATTATTATTACTATTCTTATGATTATTGCTATTATTACTATTATTATTATATATTATATATTATTATTGTTATTCTTATTATATATTATTATTTATTATTATTATTATTGTTATTATTATAAAATATTATTATCATTATTATTATTATATATTATTATATCTTATTATTACTATTATAAATTATTATTATTGTTATTATTATTACCTATTATTATTGTTGTTATTATTATTATATATTGTTATTTTATATTATTATTAAATATTGTTATTATTATTAATATATATATATGAAATTTGTTATATATTATGTACCAGTAGGGCCGCACAAAGCTGCGGCGGAGGTTTCAAAGATAGGAAATTATAGGAGAGGTGAGTTGTTGTGATGCATGGGCGAAGCGAATCCACTGATGGATCGAAGGGCGGTTTCATTTTTGGAGTCGTTGCAGTGGTCACCTCACCCACAACTGCAGGATGTAGTGTGGTGTAGCGAAGTGCAATGTAATTGAACTGTAACTGTGGTTGTAGTTGTAGTTGTAGTGGAGTTGATGTTGTTGAAGTTGTTGAAGTTGTAATGTTGTCAAAGGAAGTTGGGAAGCAGTGCTCCCGTGTTACGGACAAATAGAATTGTGAGACTTGACATTGACGAAGGGTGGTGTGCGACTTGGCATCACATAACAATACATCACAAAAGAATTGACATTGATGAAGGGTGGTGTGCGACTTGACATCACATAACAATACATCACAAAAGAATAATAGGCTATGACACAGGGTGGTGACGAAGGGCAGTGGTGACCTAGGGAAATGGTGACTTTGGGAAATGGTGAGGAAGGGAGGTGAGGAAGGGAGGTGGTGACGAAGGGATGTGGTTACTTTGGGAAGCGGTGACGAAGGGAGTGTGGTGACTTTGGGAAGTGGTGACGAAGGGAGGTGGTGACAATGGGAGTGTGGTGACTTTGGGAAGTGGTGACGAAGGGAGTGTGGTGATTTTGGGAAGTGGTGACTAAGGGAAGTGGTGGCGAAGGGAAGTGGTGAGGAAGGGAAGTGGTGTCTATCTGCAAGCTTGAAAACGAAACAAGTCCGCGAGAGGTCCTCAATTTTTGAAGTTGACAACATCAAAAACGAAGCAATTCTGCGAGACTTCCTCAATGTTCTACGTTGACAACATTGAAAACGAGAAAGTTCTGCGAGACTTCCTTCAAAAATGGAAAGTTGACGGCAGAGCGACGGCCTCGTACCAATGCGTCTTGCGATTTTTCCACTCCGTCTGTGTAAAGTGCTGCGCCTGCCACGAAAAAGTGATGCCAGGTCATACGAAGTGCTGCACCTGTCACGCAAAATCATCTCAGCAAACCTGACGATCTGATGCTCCAAAACGCAACCCTTCTCAGGAAATCAGCGCCCTGAACCCCTTAACATCTCTGATGAACATGTCTCTTGTACTGCGCCGGCCACGCGCATCTTTGCAGATCCTTTTCAAATGAACCACGCTTGCCATCGTTTTTGGAAATGCTACAAACCCCTCACGTTACGCTCACTTCTGACAAGGTGCACAATCCCTTGTGCTTTCCACGCAAAACGACAAAAGGTCCGGGACCGTCAGTCTTTAACACTTTTGACTTCGAAATGTGCTTCGCGCCACAACGGCGTGCACTTTTTCATCATCTCAACTTCCAACAGTGGTCTGGGACCGTCAGTTTCTTACACTTTTGACTTCGAAAATGCTTCGCGCCACAAGGGCGTGCAATTTTTCATCTCTCATCTCCCCAGATGGCTCCACACCCGCCGCTTTAGCGAGCCTACTTTTCGACCCTCCAGAGCCACAAATCATCGGAAAAACACAGTGTTTCGCGACTTTGCTACCTTTTCGCGCACCCGCATCTTCTGTCTTCTGACTCGTTCTGTTCTTTGATCTTCTTTCTTCTTCTCTTCTCTTTTCTGACTCTTCCCACCTCTGCTTTTTCATCTGTCCATATTGTTGGAAGTTTGACTTCTAAACTTCTTTCGATAAGTATATATTATTGTAATGCCAATATGATCTTTTCGTAGCAGCCACATAACATTCTGTTCACTAGTATACCTCCATGTATTTGGAATGCTCATTTCTCTGCCAGGTGCCCCGGCTTGACTTTCGGCGATCGCACATAGAGACAAGTGAAGCCCAAGACCATCGCCAAACTCAGCTGATCACTATGCACTGCAATGCACTGCAATGCACTGCACTCGCCGCGCCGTTTGATAAGTATGGTACTGATTGGTACTGGAAGTTTCCGGAAGTTGCTGGATACGCCAAGCCAGGTCTTTGTGAGTTTCTTTGCTGGCAGACCCCAGCTTTGTTCGTGGGAATTTGGGTTGAAGAAATTCTGTTTCGGCGTGATCATGGCATCAAAACACGTAAACTCGGGGGCAGATCTTTGTCTTGGCACCTCTATAGGTAACCCTCGAGTCCCGCCCTCTCGGCTGCCCCGAATGTGCCCAAGTCACAAGATGCCCAACGCTACAAAAGCCCAGCCCTGGCAAGATGCAAAGAGAATGTCACGAGAGTTTTGGAGAGGTCTCACCATCTCCAAAACACAACGAATCTGCGGAACCCCACCATTTCCCACCTGCCAGGTCATCCCTGAAGGTGGTTTTGGCAACGCACAAATCTCCGCACGGAAGCTGGGCTTGGCGATCTTGCAACCGAGCCTTATCAGCTCGCAGTAAGGGGACAAAAACTTAATTACATCTCCACAGTTGTCAGGAAAGGCGTCAGGAAAGATCAATCAAGTTGCACTTCAAAATCTCGATATTCCTTCTGTGCAAAGGGAGACTCGGCTACATTGGCAGCTCTCAGAAAGCTTGAAGGAATGCGGCAATGTGGTCTTGAAAGAGATACATTTCACACAATGATCGGGCTTCATCGGGTTTCAACGGCACCAACACGGACTTTAGCTTTGAGGCTTGCCCTGGGATGCTTGGACAAGAGTCGATTCGCAACTAACCAGCAGACCAAAATGCTCCTACAGCCAAAACCAGCACTAAGTTCAATGACTGCAGTTCAGATCGTAGTAGTGGGAAGTTACACCAACCATATCTGTAATTGATATTAATTATATGCATTGTTACATTAAATTGATATTAATAAATTATATTTTAGTTGATCATGTTTCCGAACTTGTGGCAATAGACTAGCCTGGTTGCAACATATTGCAACAACAAAGCAAACACTCCAAATGCGGATGATCAAACAGACTACATACTGTGAGAGACAAGGATCGGAATGCAAAGCCCTATCTCAACTTTGGATCACCTCACAAGTTTGATGTCTTGAGACTTGAACCTATGGCATTTGCCCATATTTATCATATGTTTATCATATTTGCCCTACCTTTACGAGGACTAAAGAATACTAAAGATATAGTCATTGGTCCCGTCCTGCTGGCCAAAGTTCAACGCATCACGCAATGTGAAGAAGAAAGCCTAAACGACTCAACGACTAAACATCCGCTGCAAAACGATGCAAAACGATGCAAATCTGTGAATGGGCCAAGACTTGAAGAAACGAAGGTGGGGACCAATGCTTCATCTCCGAAAAAAAAAACGTGAGTTGACTGACAGACATCAAAAAGAAACAGGTCGAACAAAGCTAGGCGAGTAGGAAGAAACACCATCTTCATGGATCCCTTTGTTTCCTCTACAACTGTGTATTTTACGACCATTGAAACCCATCAAAAATCGTAAAAAAAATCGACGTTTCGACCCTGGCCGCTGCGGACACGGAGCATGGTCAGGACCAGGCAGTCCCCCAGGGACTTGAAGATTCCACTGCAAATAGCCATTCTTAGCCGTTCTCAGGTGCAAAATTCAGTGCGACTACTGAAACCGGGCTGGTTCTTCCGGTACATATTAGAAGGTTATCTCTTTCATAAATTGGAACTCTCTCTGATCATACGCATTGGTGGTCCATGGTCATGTGTCTGTACATGTGCAGCCAAGGCTCATAAAAAGTCTGAAAGGTTTCAAGTGAGGAGAACCTCAAACGCAAATGTGTGATGTTTTGATGTTCTGTTTCCTGATGAAAGTCTATGACAGTCTATGAAATATGCGTAGTTTGTCAAATTTCAAGTTGGCAGAAAATATGTCAAGTTCGCGTTCTGCCAAGGAACTCTTCGCAGTCTGCCATGGCAGTGCCGAGTGCTTCAGCCTTTGGAGAAGACCAACCAATTTCTCCGATCCAAAACCTGTAGCGAAGCGGAGCAGCAGAGCAGCGGAGCGGTCAGGTCGTGGTCGAAAGCTTTCACGGAAACAAAACGGGCTGAACAAAGCGCTGCCAGGTTACCCAAACACCCGAAGGTTTCAAAAATCACACTGTAACATGGAATTGACATGAAAAGAAAGGTCAAGGCACTTGCAGCTTCAAACGAGAAGATTCAGATGGAAAGGGGGAATAACTCAGTTCATAGAGTTTGGATCGTCCAGGTCAAATGCACAGCCTCGCAGGACACTCCAACAAGGACTACAGTGACGACAGTTCCGAAGTTTCACCGAGTCACAAATCATCCCGCCGCCCGGTGAGCCGGATCATCTGCCGCCGTGCAGCGGCCTGGGAAGCGGCAACTCGTCTGCTTCGGGTCACTGGGCACTCTGGGCACACTGGGCACACTGGGCATCCGCGCCATGATGTTGGGCCCAAGGCAGTTGGGTTTGTCCCAACAAATCACTCGAGGTAGATCTAAGCTGCACTTGTCCTGCAACGGTGGCAGTTTATGATAAGAGATGTCATGAGATGTCATGAGATGTCATCGTTCAATGCAACCTATTCCAATGCCTCTCCAACAAATGATCTTCAAAAAGATGGATCCAAAACTGTCCGTGGTGCCAGGATTGAGGTGGATGCCAGGGTCGAAATAAGGATAGACCTGACAAGTTCATAGAAAAGTATAGAAGTGCTATGGCAGCTAGGCGATCCATTCGGTCATTGACCTTTCAGCCTTTCAGCCTTTCAGCCTTTCAGCCTATAGGCGGCACAAGTCACTTGTTTCACTCCCAGAAAATCTGCCAGGTTACATTGAAGGAAAAGGCATATCGCTTGCCATACCTGAGTTGATCAGCTGGCCTCCAGAATCGCTGCCAGGAAGGCACAACCGGGGATCTTTTGGAAGTGCTGCAAAGATGCTTGCGGATTGCGTCCAGCAGAAAGCTATTCACCAAGCCGGTCTTGGGATCTTCCATGAAGGGTACACGGACAGAATCTGGCAACGGACAAAAAAAGATGACAACTCAGATTCCCAAAATCCTGGACCTTCAGGACCTTCAGGACCTTCAGTGCTTCCATCTTGCTACTCAAAGTCTCGATCTCTAGATCTCTCCATGCACCAGCTTCAATGCAACCAATCATGTTTGCAAAACATACCTCAGTTTCAAAACCATGGGAGGTGCCCAGTCCCAGGTGGGGCCTGTAAGGATGCTTGCTGTGAACACTGAGGTTACCTGCAGTGAAGGCCATTGCCGGCAGCTACTGGGTCTGCAATGAAACATGATGGAACATGTAGCAACTTGTAGCAACTTGTAGCAACTGTAGCAAGCCAACATAAAGTTTTGTTCTTCATACAATTCTGACTTGAGAATGCTGGATGGACTTGCTGGTGTAATGGCCATGCCGTGTCATTCCTCTGTGTCAAAGTGTGATAGGAACAAAAGACAGCATGACAAGGTAGCGTATTTTTCGTCTGTCCTGCAAATCAATTGACACCAAGATCAAAAATCTGTTGCAGACAGGTTGCCGGAACCGCAGAAAAACCTAAGCGAGGAAAAACAGTTCGCACAAAAAATCAATAACAGAAAAGAGAAATGCGGGAAAGGCTGACATCCAAAAGGGACAGAACGAGATATGCATGCACTGCCAAGACGCCCATTCGATCCTCAGCAAAATGAAGCAACTCATCCAAAGCACTTATGTTTGCTGCCAAAGACTAGACATGTTTTCAACGAAGAAATGCTTAACATATCTTAACATCTTTTTAAATGTCTTTCAAATTCTTCGATGTTCAATCTGTTCTTTGACCTTCAGTTCTTCACATTTCCAGTTACAGCCACCAACTCCAGACGCTCCAGACGCTTTCGCGACGCGCGTCGAACTCGCTGATGTGCTCCGTGAAGGTCTTCCAGAGCCGGCCACCGCTGAAGAGTTCGGCGACACACGCCGCGTCTGCCTCGAAGTCATCCAGACATGACCAAAGTTGTCTGTGCTCTGTGGAACCCATGGAAACATCATGTTCAGGTTATACTATAGATAAATGATGATGATATAATATCATATATGGGCAAAGCTCAGTGAAACTATCCAAACACGGGTGGAAGTCTCTCAACGAGGACTGTCTGAGTCAACCAGTTCAACTGGGTGGAAATAAATACCAAAATTACCAACTTTTTTGGGGTTCCACGTTTGTTTACGCGGGATTGTTTCGCGAGTTTGACTAAAGCCCGAATGCAAAAAATGATAAAGTGCGCGTCGTGAAGCAAAGGGCCTCCAGAGATGGGAAACAGTCAGGATGAAAAGTATCAGTCTTCAGTATCAAACTATGATACTGATCATCCACCGGTTTTTCAGTTTTTCAATATCAAACTACTCAACTGTACAACCTGTCAGGGTTTGGATTTGCACTCTACTACATACAGTAAACTTTTGACGCAAGTGGATGTCAAACTATCATTTCTGGGGGCGAACAGCACACAGCTGCATGCCGCGTCACATGGTTGTGAAGCAACTCCAATTCGTTGCCAATGGCCAATCCCATGACATGCTCCGGTCCCACCATCGCCAGGAACTCCTTCGTCCAGCCTGGTCCGGAAGGTCCACCGGAAGGTGAGGAAGGGCAGAATGGAACGTGTGCGAAATTGAGGCAATGGAACGCACCATCCCACACCATTGCTAACCGCAAATGGCCTGATTCTGCGCCCACACTTGGCATATAGACTTTGGATGACTTTGGTTTCCACCCTACAAGCCACCTCTAGCACTTCTATACATGTCTTCACTTCGCCCGTTCCCAAGTCTAAGACCTCATCCAAATCCGTGGAACAAACCTGTCGTATCTTTCGTATTTTCGCCAAGTGTCCCCAAGTCTTTTCATCATCGCCTTTCAAGCAGGTCACGGGCGTCCCCACCAAGACTTTCACACCTCAGCATCCAGAAAGCAATCACGGGCGAAAACATCAAAGTTGTTGTGGCTTCGCACTGGGGCCCGAACCTTTCGCTTTCCTTAAGATTGCCAAAAGCTAAAGCAATGACCAAAGCATCGTTTGTTTCGAAATAAACTTCCTTCTGGGAGCATTTCTTACATACATCGTCAATGAAACTAAAACTGCTCGCGGGGGACAACCTAATTCTGCCGTTTGATGGCCTCACGATGATCACAAACCTACAAAATAGGTCCCGCGTTCTTGTCACAAGCAGCGGCATTTCGGTCCCAATCTATATGGAATGCCATGGGTCACAAATCTCACCAAGCCTTCCCAAGCAGCATGGCGGCCTGTTCAGATTCGTCATGTGAGAAAGAAAACACTTTCATGACTTCATGCTGCAAAGTTCAAACAATGCTTGGCTTCCCCTGCATCGTGGCACAAGGTTGCTGGCACATTTTCCGACAAACTCAGATTTCAAGTAAACTGTTAAGACTACGAGCCACTGTCGACTGTCTCGCGCTACGTGCCCTACAGTCTTGCGCGCAATGTCTGCATGGCTGCACGCAACAGCTGCACCAACTTCTGACGCAGCCACCGCAGGTCAAGCATTCCATCACCCATCTCCCTTCTCACAACCCGCAGGTGGTATGTCAAATATGGGAGCTGCCAAGTGAGAAGCTTCAAGATGTCAATTTCCCTCCATCCGGTCAACCATTCTCTGCTTTGAAGAACAGACCAAATTGCAGAAAAATAATTCAGAGCGGTCACTTCGTCTGACCGAGCATGTTCCGTCTCAGCAACATCTGGTTCGCAGACCAGCTTGTGCACTGCTTCCAACTCGCGAAAGTCCATAAAGAAGACACGGCTGGACAAGATGGCCAGTAGCCAATGCCAACCTCGAACATTTGGCCTCGGGCTCACAAGAAATCAAGGCTCTCCGTCCCGGGAAATTTGTTATGCCTTTGCTGCCAGAAAAAAAGAGACACAGAGGCGGATCACTCGAATGGCACTCGTTGACGCCAGGTTGCGCATTGGCAGCAAAATGCTGCTTGCACTGAGCTATGGTGGGACGAGAAAAGCGAATGGTTTCACCCACACGGCTCTGGATAGCTTCGTCAATGTTGTTTCGCAAATTGGTAGCCATCACCTCAGTTCACTTAGCTCTGTCGACTATACGGACGCACCCAAAACTAAACAAGAGGGAGTAATTACTCGTGCATTGTGCACTCGGATTAGCGTGTGATACCATGTGCACCATACTGTACTCGCCTGTCCCTGTCAGCCCAGGCTGCTTATATGGGCATTGGCAGCTCTAGAGTCAAAGTGCGACGTGATAAAAAATGTTTCGTCCAGGTCACAACAATGATCGGTTTGGCATCACGTGGTCTGCTCTGCAAGCCCTCCGTCCATTCCAGAAAGGCCTTGACGATGTCGTTCTTCGACTGAAGCACCAAAGACACAAGCAGCCACAAGTTTGAAAAAATGCCAGGCATTCAGCCCTCAGTTTATGACAAAACCACAAGTAAACCGTCAAATCGTCAAACCGTCAAAACCACAGTTCCACTTCTTTGGCGCCTCCACTCTGACGCTGTGATAATCCTGCATGCTTCTCCGACTGCTGAACACTTGCTCCGCTTCATCGATGAAAACTGCCACTGCAATCGCATTGGGGCCAGATGACATCCTGCATCATGACAACGTGATTGTTGCCAGGTGCCAAGTCAAACTGAAACTGCATCTAAAATCAAAAATTCATGGGGATTTCACCAACCCCAAATAATAAGGGAGTCTTAGGGCACCAAAAAACATCAATAAGAGCTTACTAACCCGTTTTGGGGGGTCACCTTGGGGGCCATTGGTGTATGTTGATGTGATGATGTGAATTCGGCTGAGGCACTCGTCAAGGGCTTTCAAGGCGTCCTGCATCTCCTGCAATGTACCATATCCCGGCTCACCCAGCTTCATCATGAAGGACCGGAACTTGAGACCTGCCGACAAGCTGTGAAGCGGTGAGAGGAATTGGATGGGCGGAATTGGGCATGAAGAGATTGTCGGGAAAAGATGGGCAAAACCGAAATGATGTTGCTTTAAGATGATTGGAAATGCAGATTCTCTTACCACCTCTATCCCCCACAAAACCATCAAGAAATCATTGCCGCATCATTGCCATCAACAATTTCGACCAGACCTGCTTCAGCTGCAAGGACCTTCATCGCCATCGTCTTCCCCGTTCCAGGTGGACCATGAAACAGATGCAGCTGGGTGTTTTTGGTTGGAACATCCCTTCCTCTCACCTTTCTGATGCGTGCTGCACGCTTCTGCTGATACGCTTCATCAGGGGATCTCAAAATACCTGGCTTTGCGCTGAAGACTTTGGAAATCAGTTCTGGCATCCCAAAATTGAAGCAGATCACAGCAGAAATCAGAAAGAACATGAAGGAAACACTAAGGAACAAGAGCTCCGTGCAATTTTGGACAAGTTTGGACAAGATACGAATCAAGGATCTCTTGGTCTGCGGCGGTGCAAAGTAGTTCCTTCCCAGGTCAAGTCTCAACCCAGGAGTTTTGTGCGGTTTCCGTGTTTCCAAACCAAACTGGGAAAGCGAAATAAGCCCAAAGAGTATCCCCAACAGCCAGAAACAAAAACAGCTGCCAAACACGCAATGAGTGAAGTATGTTTATTGCCCCGCCCTTCTTACTCTAGAGGTCGGGCATACAAGGCGCAATCACAGCACAAACACTTTATGAAAAACCGTTTTTCCAAAAGCGTTCGCAATACTGTGGCCAAAATTCCCGAAGCTCGTGCGAAGGCTTTTTCCCAAAGAACTGCTGTCCGCCTCACTCTTCACTTCATCTACCTAACATACATCATCCACATCTCTTATGTCCTTTACATCACCTACATCTTCTATACCGTCTTCTACACCATCTTCTCTAGATCTACATCTACATCTACACCATCATCCTCATTATCACCATCATCATCATCATCATCATCATCATCATTATCATTATCATCATCATCACCTACATCTGTCTCACCTACATTATCTACACCACCTACACATGTTCCATCAACCTCATCTATATGACATGCTTTATGTACAATACATACATTGCCTACATCATCATCTACATCACTACATCCTCTACATCACCCACATCAACTACATCTTCTGCACCATCTTCCCTACATCATCATGATTAATGATTATCATCACCATCACCACCACCATCATCATCATCACCATCATCTATCTCACCTACACCATCTACATCACCTACACAATCTTTTTCCATCGACCTCATCTACATGATATACATCACCTACAACGCATACATAACCTACATCATCATCTATATCACTGCATCCTATACATCACCTACATCTTCAAATCTATCTAACCTTACATCACTTACAACATCATCCTCATCATCTACAACATAGACAACATCACCTACATCAGCTACGGGTGATCAACCTCTGGGGAACTCCTACAAAACTTGAAAAATGTCATTTACACAGGAGTTGACTTGCAGGTGATCCATTTCTACTTGAACTCCTACAAGACTCCTGCCGGCAAGGTCATTTTGCACAGAAATTGTTACACAGGAGTTGCTACACACTGGTTCAGCTAACTTCCAGGTGTTCAAATTGTATCTGAACTCCTGCAAAATCAGACTTCTCCAGTTCTTCTATTTCTCTCTGGTGGCAGGGACAGCCAGGCGGTGGCTTACGAATCGTTACCCTCTGCGGCGTGTCGGACACCCAAACGTGTGGCGAAATGCGGGTCTTGTTTGTCCTTGGGCAACCCTCTGCGGAGATGGCGCGTGTCGGATGGGCAAACATGTGGTGTGGTGAAATGCGAAACTTCTTTGCCCACAGCAGCCGTCTGCGGAGATCGTGCGTTTCGAACGCCCAAACATGTGGTGGAATGTGAATTTCTTTTGGGCACGGGCAACCCTCTTCAGAGATCGCGCAGGTCGGACTTCCAAACATGTGGCAAAATGCAAATTTGGTGAGGCCCGGCACAGCCCCTTCGCACGAAATGATGGTCAACCGTCAAAAACTGGTGTAAAATTGTGATTTTGAAAGTTCAGATGCAAGCGTGGCATGAAAGTCAAACGGCAATAACTGTGGGAAAACTGCGGTTTTTTAACGTCAGATGTCAACGTTCAAGAATTGGTGTAAAATTGCGACTTTATCCATTTTGAAACGTCAGGCACAACCGTTTCGCGCGAAATAAAACTTGTGTAAAATTGCGATTTTACAAGGGCGCGTTTAAAGTTTCTGCGCGTATAAGATTGTAAAAGCTGCTCTGTGCAAAGGCCTCTCTCTGTGCTCTGTGTAAACCCTGCTCTGTGAACAAGCTTCTATGCGTAAAAGTGTCTGTGTGTAAAAGCTCTGTGTGCAAAGGCGTGTGTGTAAAGCTTGTGTGTGTGTGTAAATGCTTCTGTGCATTAAAGATCCTCTGTTTAGACGCTTCTCTGTGTAAAAGCTTCTCTGTGTAAAGCTTCCGTGTGAAAACCTCTGTGCATAAAAGCTTCTGTGTGTAAAGGCCTCTATGCGTAAAAGCGTTTGTGTAGAAAAGCTTCTTTGTGTAAAGGCGGCTCTGTGTAAAAGCCGCGCTGTGTAAAAGTTGCTCTGTGTAACGGCTTCTCTGTGTAAAAGCGTCTGCGTGTCAAAGCTGCTCTGTGTACCGGCATCTGTGTGTGTGAGCGAAGGTGTCGGTGTGTAAAAGCTTCTGTGTGTACAAGCTTCTCTGTGTAAAGGCCTCTCTGCGTCAAAACTTCGGTGTGTAAAAGCTGCTCCGCGTAAACGCTGCTCTGTGAAAACAAACCTGAGTGTAAAAGCTGGACCCCAAAGCTTCTGCTGTTGGGGAAAAACTTGCTGAATTCCTCGAAGAGTCTTCAAAGACACATCATCAATTTCCAGCGGCTGAAGGATTCCAGGCAAAGAGGATTTCCGATTCTTATGATTCTTCTGTCCTCAGCACAAGTCACGGCGTGTTTTCAGTGAAATGGGTAAAATTGAGATAAATCCAACAGACTGCTGGAGCAGAAGGGGGCTACAAAGGAAGGACCTGCAGTATGCTCCAAAAGGATCCAAAAGGATATTCTAGTCATCTTAAGCTGATTCATGCTGATCTCTATTCCATCCCTCAATGATCTCTGAGCATCGATGTTCCCATCTGGCAATGATCTCCACCGATGCGTCTGGGACTTTGTGGGGAGACCTCTCAACAAATTGCTGCGCTGCCACAAAGTCTTTGATGGTCACAAAGCCGAATGGTCGGAGATCCTTCTCCTACGCATATGCTGAACCACAAGAGCTGTGAGCTACCACCTAAACTTTAATGGATAAATGCCAGGAATGACCCAAAGCTGTGTTTCTTTGCAGTGCAATACACTAAGTTGGGATTTATTAGACCTTCACATGCACATGTCTGAGTGGCAAGTACATCAAACCTGCATCCAAACAGACATCCAAGGATATCCCACCTTCAAGGGCATCCAAAGGTCTTCAAAGTCGCCATACCTTTGGATGTAGCCTTCCAATTTCTGTCTTTCCACCACATCCCTCAAGGGACCTGCAGTTGCTATCGGTGTGAATCTCTGTGAATCGCAGAGTCTGACATCCCAGCATTCCCAGCATTCCCAGCCTTGCTTTCCATTGCCTGCGAGGATGTAAATCCTGGACCCGCCGACCATCCGAAAACCGCGCAAGGACCCGCAAGGGCACGCGGAAGAGTTTTCGGAACAAGCCGAAGAGTTCTGTCAGCTCGCAGAGCAGAGACAGCTACAGAATCTCAACAATCGAAACTACAATCTGGTATGGCAAACTCATATCGGGAATCGACAAATTCAGTCATTTCTGAGTACCAATTGTCCAATGGCATCAAGTTGACAACCACTTTTCCTCCACCTTTTGATCCGAACATCTGGGAGCCTTCCTCTGGCCACTGCGTAGTCCAGGTCTGGAAGATCCGGAGAGATCCCATGGAAGACGCCTCCGAAACCGCGGGAGATATCTGGAGATCTTAACAGTGGCACAGCTGACATGTGAAAACTTGTTGCATATAATGTATATTATATATATATATATGTAATATATTAATGTGCTATACATCTGCATAGTAACATTGCAATAATTGCATGATTACATAGTATACATTGGTTTTGCATGGATATCTTGAACGCATCCAGACAGTGGTTGAGGGCACTTATCGGCGCTTATCGGTATTAAAGATCATACGAAGCATCAACCATCTGCAAAAATTGTAAGTTTCATTGCAGCCACCGTGACCGTGTCTGTTCGCCTCCAGATTCGGCCAAGTTTCAGGTATTCGTGAAGAGCACCTCATTGCCAAAGACATTTGGTATTGTTTGGCATCCTGTCAATCCTGTCTATCCTAAATCAACAATAGATGAAAGACCAATATGTCACAGTATCACTGTTCCAACTGCAATTTCATATGGGATCTCGTTTGGCAAAGCCGCCATTTCACACTTGGTTCCTGCCATTTTGCCAAGACACCATCGAAGGGTTGTGTCATCCACCCTGAGCACTCAACATCTGCATTCCATTGATGCTGTGAATCTGCTGTGATGTTATGGATCGCTATGGCTGAGTGTCAATTCTGCTTTGGGATTCAGTTCGCAAATGTCAAACTTCTCTCAGATCGAACCAACGTCACCAGGATTTCATATGAAACCAAAAGGATCTGGACCCGTCTTGAAATCGAAGAACTCCGCTGACTGAAGGTTGTTTTAGAAGGTAAGGTGTTCTCAGACTACCAACACATCTCTGTCGCCCCTCTGGCCATGCAGCTCAAACAGGGACAAGGAGCGTGACACCTTTCTTCTGCATGGCATATGCAGTCAATCTTCGCGAACTATTGGTAGTTTCCTTGGTTTTAGCAGAAGTATCTGTTGACAGCAAATACAACACAGCAAGCAAGCTACAGCACGCTTCAGTACAGCACCGCAGAAGACCTGTACTGAGTATATAAATGGAAAGCTGCAACAAAATCACGTGGTTGACTTCATCACAAATGATCGTGAATCATTATGAATCACAATCATAATGGATTGACTTACATTAACTTAGATTAGCGTGATCATGCGGCAATTTCTGTACACTAGAATCATTAGAAATGCTGTCTCAGTGGCCAGTCGGCGCTTGCTGTCACAACAGCTCAGGTATTGACCGTTGGTTGCAGGACCTAGCAATGTCGCAAATGATGGTCACCCAGTCACCCAGTCACCCAGACACTAAACCCATCATTGGCTTTACTTGTTCATGAATAATTGATGAGTAATCTGTATTTTAATAATGTGTGCTTTTCTCGGCCAAATTTGTTCTGAATTTCTTTCTTGCTTAGCACATCTGCAGACAGACGTCTCCGGCTACTTATCAAGCTTATCACTGTTCGCCGGCTGAACAAACTGCGCCAAGTACATAGATTGCACCCTCCACTATACACATGTTCCCTTCACATTCCAGCAGTCCTCACAATTCTCAACCTTTCGTAACTGCGTATTCAGTGGGGTCCTTGCTCTCAAACAAAGAGATTCCAGAAACATCTTGTGCAGAATCATCGATGAGAAAAGCGAGAAAACACCTCCGAGAGAGTGGTCTTCTTGACAGTGGATACAGTTGATGCACTTCATACCAACTTATCTAACTGCATACATTTAATAAATGTATAATACAGCTGCCTGCCCTTAGAATCCATGAGAATCCTTGGATGTGGTGGCAATTGGCACATGTCGCCAAGCTGCAGCAATCGCCAGCCGTGAGCCCCAGATCAGCGCAGCCCCCATTGGAGGAACACGCAGCTGAGCCCGCAGGCTCCAAGGGCAAGGGCTCCACGTAACCGCCCAAGGCCACGTCCTCCCGTTGCGGCCGGCCATGGGAAAAGATGCCCATTGATTGCACTTGTGGCATCTTGTCACCGATCCAATCCGGATGTCAACTAGTCGTTGTCAATTTCAGTTAAATGCCCGAAGATAACAGTTCAACAGTCGGGAGAACACCAAGCAGTCCATTCCACACCCGGCTCCGTCTGACAGGCATAAAAATCATCTTTCCCGGGTGTGGGGCAGGTGCAGCGAGCCAAAGGCAAGCCCAACCTCAGTCTCAAGGAGTTCACAGGGCCATCGCCGGCATCACCATCACAATCTTGTTGAAACAGAATGGCCTAGAATCGCCTAGAAGGTGCAAGGACTTCTGGCCCTTTAGCTCACAAACATATTCATATTATTATTACTACTAATATTACTATTACTATCACTATTCTTATTATAATTATTACTACTACTATCATTAATTGTTATGAAAAAGCCCATTTCGGCCAAGCAGCAACGCCCAAGCAGCTGGCTTCAGCCATCGAAAAGGCTTCAAGCCCAGCATGACACACTGCGGCAAATGCCGAATCTAAAGCGCAATGAATTTGCACTACTTTGGCACTACGTTATTGGAGTTTTGGTACTACTTCTCATGCCCTATGACCTTCACTAGTCGCTTCATTTGTTACCCTTCCAATGGTTGGAGAAAAGTACCCTGCAGGAAGCCACAACAGTTTATGACTTGCCTCAATCAAACACACTGTTCCTTGATGTTCTTGAATTGTTCTGAGCGCAGAATGGCTAAAGATGGCTAAAGATGGCTAAAGATGGCTAAAGTTAAGTTTTGTGCACCATTGGTTCTTTGGCCATCAGCTGCAAGCCAAACAGCCTGTCTGCAAAAGCGCCCCGAACATCCTTGTGATTATTGTGCTGCGGCAGCCACTTCAGAACTCAGAGACACTGGGTTCTGCCAAGTGCTTTTGAGGCTGAAAGTAGGTAACTAGATCAGAGTCCTTGCTTCGCTAGCTTAAACATCTTAAACAGTAAGGCTTTCCCATAGTGCTCCAATGGCTAAAATTTGACAGCAACTTTGGGACCCAGTCGAAGACTCAGCGGACTTGGCGGACTGGGGCGTCCACGAGATCGACGGGTCATGGCGGTAGACACCGAAAAAGTCTTGGAAAAGATCTCGGTGGGATCTTGGCCCATCTGACAACGTCTGCAATGCGCAACCTGAAACTAGGATAACTTTGGTCGTGTATGGTCAGGTGTCGGGTATGGTCTGGATGTTGGATCCCAGTCTTTGTGAGTTCCTTTTGTATCCTTTTGTGATTTTACTCTGGTGTTCCAGTCTTCCAGGTTCTTGCTCTGAATCAATGATGCTGGTGATGCTGGCTGATGTCATACCAGCTGCTGTTGTAGCCACCTCTCTCGCAAACAAAACCTATTCTGACGAATCTGCAGACGTACCATTTTTTTGTACGTTTGGTGGACTGCAGAGCCAAAGGCCAAGTGGGCAGTGTCCCTTGTCCAGATCCGGAGAGGAATCAACAGCGAAGCGCACTGCGACAATGTGTAGGGATAAACTCAGTTCCGGTTTCACAAAACACAGGCCTTGGCCTTAGCAAATTCCAGGCCTGTCATGATATCTCCGAGATTTGGTCCGAACCTGCTGCTGCAGTGCGGCCTCCTCTGCATCATGCTGCAGCTCCTGGTGCTATCCGATGCCAATTTTCTGACACCGGAGATATTTGGTGGAGAAAAACATCTCAGTACTGTTGGGAAAAATTGCCGGGAAAAAAGAACAAGGCATCTGAGGTGCTTCTGTTTGGAAAGGTTTCAGCGTCGCAGCAGATCCCCGTCCCGCGACTCTCTTGTTGGCATGGCCTCCGCCTCGATCCCATAACAGAACATGTATATGTCAAAGGTGAAGCCCTGGGGGATCCTGGAATTTCCCGGAATCCCATTGATCCCATGTAAACGTTTTAAACAAACTGTTTTTCAAGTGGATATTGATATAGATATGGGATATCGGATGATATCGGTCTAGATCTCTACAAGTTTCATCCAATCTTTTCCCTGCACCGACCTGTGAAGATCTGCGGAAAATCATCAAAGGGTCAACAGTTATAACTGGCCATGTATAGCCAGCACCACGAAAGATTCCCATTTTGCCCAGTGTTCTTTGCAAGAAGCTGTTTCAACTAGAGGGACCTGAGTTTGTGGCCATACAGCAGTCAAAGAAAGACCAACTCCGCTGCTTCAACTGAAAATTCCTGTCAGTGCGCCTCGGTCGTATGGGGAGTGAGTGCACATCTACAGACTGAGCCCTCATTGTCCAAATGCGATCTGTGAAAGACCTACTGTAAGAGAAGATAGACCCTGCTCTAAGAACGCCTCCATTTCCACACTGACCAACATGCATCAATAACATGTACAGTATCATGGTGTGATACGTGTCAAATCCAATTCACTTCGCAAATGTCTGCGGCATTTTGGGCACCGTACGTGGCCACATGGTCCAAGGCTTCAGACAGTTGGGTTTCACGCACCTGGAGCTCCTCGAGAAATCGTTGCTGGAGATCTGTAGAGGTACGTTTGGTCTACCTGTTTGGCATACCCGTTTCGAGCTTTTTCGAGCTTTCAAGTCTTCGTGTCTTCCATATCTGTTCATTCTAGCATTCTTTCTCCTTTGCGCATTCTAACAAATACATCAATATACATCCAAACAGGTCCAAACACATTCCAGGTCGAAATAATTTCGGGCCTTGGGGATGAGAGCACTCAGCTGCGAGACGCTGATGGGCTTCGCTAAAACCTGGGCGTCGCTGATGTCTTGAGGTTCTCGTGGAGTCAAATGCCAAGAAGGACGCAGAGTGCTGCTTTCAGTGAAGTCTGCAGAGAGTCGCAGGATGTCTAGCTGCACTTTGCAAGCCTGGATCAAGAAGCGTTGTAGGATGACCGAACATCTCGCATACCTGGCAGTACGAGCATTGGAGCATAGCTGCAGCTGGATGCGATGTGACGCCACCTTTTAGAGTGTGGATGTCCCAGGTCACACCTGCTTTCCCACTTTCTTCTGCACAAGGACACCTGCATGGATTGAAGATGTTTGAAGCATGGTCAGAGGGTTTCACTGGCATAACTGTGAAGCCACAGCAAAGGTTGAAGACTCCACTTCTGAGTTTTATAGAGGGTGCCTCAATTGGCAGCATTTCGTTGACTGCTTGCACCAGTAGGGTCCAGAAGAGTCGAAAGCGGAGCCTCAATGTCCACCAGTAGGGTCCACCGATTCTCAGTCGAATCATCGAAATTGCTGGCTGAAAATCTTCGAAAATCTGTCCGAGGTCCCTGCTGAATTTGAACCGTCAACTCGTCGGACCAAAGACTGACCGATGGCCGATGGCATGGGTCAAGCACTCCCTTTCCAATTCTGAAAGTCAACACGCAGCCTATGGAAAAATATGGAAAAATGATGGAAAGATGAAGGATATAGAAATTGATTGAAACAGAATTCTTCACAGTCCAAACATCAAATCGGCTAGGTCTCAATCTGATGCAACAGTTGCAAGAAGTTGCATAAGTCACTGCCTTCGCCAGCGTTCCAAGACAGGCACCTGGCCAGTGGAATGAGTGCTTGATAGGATTGTTAGTCAACCCATCACCAACTCATACCACTTGTATCCACTTGTAAGATCTTACAATAAGATCTTGTAAGATCCCGTCACCTGGGTGTTTGTGGGTGCCGTTTCATCGAAGGCAGCGCTCCTGTGGAGCAACGGATGACAATGGAAGGAGTCTCTACCTGTGGCGTTCTATTCATCGAAGGTTCACCAAACTCTGTACCCTTCATGTTTAGATACCAAAATCATCCAAAATCATCCAAAATCTACTGATCTATATTACGCTATTGCGGTTCCTTGGCATTACATATACTTTTTGTCTGCTTGAGAACAAATTGTAAATCTTTCATGGCCACTCTCCGTCCAGAGGCAAAACAAGGGCTCTGCTTCTTTGGCCTAGCAGAAATGACTTCTGAGACAGCCAAAACTGGAAAAATGCTCCCAAGCTTGTTGTCTGCCGATGTCTGCCCATGTCTGCCCTGCCTCATGGAAATTCAGCAGCAGCATGCAAGCCTCCCGGAGTTGGAAATTCACATCAGTTTTCCACACAATCTGTGCCACATCTTTTGTTGACACTGAAAAATGCACAAAGCGATCTTGGTTTGGTTTAGCCTCACTGAAACCTGCCTGCACAGCCATGACGTCCAACTGCCGAAGCCTTCTCCGCTCAGCCTGCCAAAAAGTCGAAACAGGTACCCCAAACCCCAAAAAGGATCAAAAAGGAACTCTGGGATTTGTGCCGAAGTCGACGCACCTGTTATGACTGTTATGATCGGTGATATCGTTGGCTCTATTGTCTTTGGTTCCACGCCTGCTGCGCATGCATGGACTGGCCATTCCTCACCCACCAACCTGTCTGAATCTCAGCCTGGCTCAATGGCGCTCCACACTGACTCTCCCAAATAAACGGTTTGCACACATTTGTTTGACGTTGTTTAATGTAATTTTCAATCCGAATTCAAAGCATCCCAATGTTCACAAGCCACAGCTGAACGCAGCTGAACACAAGCTTCACTGAAGTCCCTCACCCTTGGCCTCGAAGCGTAGGGCACGAACTGCATGACATAAAGCGTTCACCTGAGAGCGTCTTTAGCAGAATCGAGCTGTACAGCATCCAACATGGTGCGAGAAATACAAAGACTTAGACTTAAAAACCTCACCAGGCTTTGGCCCATAGTTTTGTGCTTGAAAAAAGGTCCTACCACTTCCGATCCTGATTAGGTGCCACACCGCCACATCCAGGGGAATGATCTCTCGCCACTCAGCAGCCAAGCCTCAGAGGAAGTATCACGCGGTCAATCAAGCGGCTTTTGAAGGTATAACTCCCATCGCTTCCTTCCTTTTCATGAATTGACTCAGATATTACTCTGGTTCCATGACACAAAAGAGGATGAAAAAGAGAAGAAAAGGATCAGATTGAGCCAGAGTCGTGCTCTCCAAGTGCTCTCAAGGCGGTTAGCTGGGGAGATGTGCTCGCGTCTTGGAGCAAGTCCCAGTTCATGCACGAGGATAAAAGCCTGGCATCCGCCAGTTTCGGATAGTACACTTGGTGGCCCCCCGTATGAAGTCAGAGACACATGCTCTGATCAGGTGAACAAAAAAACAATGGTTTTGCTACGAGATGATCTACGTTTGATTTACCCAATATCGCATTGAGAGAGAAAGGTCAAAAACATTGGCACAATCTCGATAAACACCAATGTTCACCAAACCTGGATGGACACAACAATTACTGTAGCTAAAAGCATATCATTTCATCATGTGTTGCCACAACAAGGAAATGTATTTTCAGATCTTATTTTCTTGTAGATGTTTTGACCTCACATACGGGGGGTAGAAGGCACAAGAACGATGAACAAGCCAAGTGCTAACTGTAACTAGGGTATGATAAGACCGGAAAACCAGGACAACAGTTTTTGAGTTTTCAGACAGCTCTCCAAAACATAGTGCCAATATGCGCCAATATTTTTCGCAGAAATGCTCGGTTGATCTGCCATGTGGTTCTCTCTTTTCGAGCCTCAGAAGTGGCATATGAAAGGAAGAAGCCGCGCTGCAATTGAAGTCACCTCAGGGTCAGCTGAGCACGGAACAGAACATGTCATGAGGTTGGTCAAGACATACAAAGTAACAACGGTTGCAACGATAAGGTTTCCAAGCGTGTGTCCGCAACAAAAGAGTTTCCAACCAGGGTCTCAAGCTTGAGGATTCAGGTCAAGCATGAAGCTTCCAAATAACCAACAAACTCAGCGACCCACAAGCCACCAAGCTACAAGCCTAGAAGTCAGCCCTCAGGCTCTGAGCTCCTGTCTTTGAAAACCTTCACAACGCTGGAGGCCATTCGAAAGTGCTCTATACCAGGATCGCAATTCCTCGCAACAAAGGATCCTATCACCTGCGATACGTCCTTTTCCCTTTTCAAGGGTCGACTGTGGGCTAGTGATGCCCAGTGGCCTAGTGTATGATTTCACACGACATTCTGAAAAGCAACTCAGCTCCTCAAGTGTGACATCGGGTCGACGGCAGAAGTCGGCCAAATGGGTCAAATTCTTGAGGAGTTCTGCCTCCATAAAGAAGCCCTGACCGCAGAAAAGTTCGAAAGCTGCGAAGAAAGACATAGTACTATCAGTACTTCTCACAACGAGTCACAAATTAAGCCCACCAACTGGGAAATGATCTGGTGGTGAATACTGTGAGCAATCTTTGCAAATCAACAGCTTTGTGACGCATTTTTCGTCGCGGGTCAAGAAAGTGGACCCAAAGCGCTTTGGCATCGAAGTTGTTCGCTTCATTTCTCTGGTCGATGTCCTGACCCATGAGGCCCCAGAACACGTCCAGGCGGTATTCTCTTTCGAAACTCAAAACAAAAACACGATAGCTGAAAGTGACACATGGATACAACAAATGTACAGTGCATCTCCTGCCAGCACCCTCAGATGCAACTAGATATGGCAACTGGTCCATACTGGTCCTCACATCAACCTAGCAAAGTGGAAATGGGTCCAAGTGACTAACAAATTAACAATTAATACAAGTTCAATTTCACAGGACAAGTCTCGGATTGGCAACCGCTTTCAGCTGCGGCATGGAAGCACTGCTGCGCATCTGTCGCCGCGGCTGCAGCACAGGGGTACTTCCGCGGTCCATCAAAGCACCTGCAGCGGTGAAATCTGAAGAACAGAAGCTATTCCCAAATCATGACTAAGTGATGAGTTTGGTCACAACCGACCATGAGTAGTCCGACGGTAAAGTTTCCGCCTTGAACTCCTGCGCCTGTTTCGACGCTGGAGAAGGATGGCCAATTCACCATCCACTGCATGGCACTTTCCTTAGAAACAGGCTGCATGGCAAAAAATAATGGATAACAATTTCCTATCACTGAGGCTATTAAACAGTCACAGGATAGTAGATCTTGTAGGCAAAACAACAGGCTTCGAAAATCTTCGAAATGTAAGAGGACGTCAGGACGTCGATTTGTGCAACTTTGTGCTCTCCATTTGTCATCCAAGCGGCAGTTGGATAGTAGTATTTGGTGTGAAAATCCATCGACATTGGCTGCCAGGAGCTCACGCCTTTCGGGCGTTCAATGAGCTGAATCCCAGGTCTGCTTCCCTTCACTGCCTGGTCCACAGATCAAGCTTGATGCAGGCAGGGTCTGGAACCATGGAACTTATCAGTTCCAAGACATGTCAAATTGAACTCTTAAATATTCAAAGTAGACTGGATCAAAACATATCAAAACATATCAAAACCACATACAGTAGATCTATGGCAATGTCTGACGAGGTCCTACGGGACGAAATGTAATTTTTTGTTCCCCGCTGTGAGTTTCACTCCGCATCAAGGGCCAGAACAAAGTTGGATGTACATCTTTAGCGGTGAAAATCTCTGCATTGGCTCCTCTCCATCCACAATACGCAAGGAGGAGCACAAATCCAGCAGCTGATAGCGGTAATCACCACGTTCCTTGGCAATGGCTGGTGATTCAAACTGGATTGCTATTCGGAAAATTTTGGAGCGGCCTGTGAATTCGACACATTCACCATGTGTTAATTCATTAAATTATAAACTCCACTCAATTTCATATCCATGGTGTTGACACTGTTGGACTACAAGAGAGCGGAGGCACACTGGTTTTTTGGCAAGTCCCTGGGTCATGCGTATTTTGAGCATTTTTGAGCCAGGCTTCATCTACAAAGGGATTTCCAGCCACGAAGATCACCGTGAGCTTGCAACAGTTGCCGATCATTTGGAGAGCCTCAGGCCATCTCAGGCCAGAGCTAAAATTGGAGGTTGACATGAACCCAATGAAGCCACACCTGAGAATCTTATGACATTCAGTTCACGTTGCTGGAGACAATTTGATGGTCCGCCAAGGCGCCGCTCCAGGCGAGGGCCCCAACAAATTTTCAGACACGTCCAGGAATTGGAGATGCAGAAGATCTCCCAGTCGCTCGATGCCTGAGCTTTGAGGAATTGAAAAGCAGAGAACAAGTCACAGGGGAGGGAGAATGATGAATGAATTTTAAAAAAATTGAGAAAATCTGTCTTCATCTGTGAGAGCGAAGAAAATCTGTCTCGTGTCTCGTCGTGTCTCGTCCTTTGCCGCGCTGCGTCGCAGGCGGTTCCTCTGCAATCGGAGGCATTGCAGGCGAGGCAAATGGAAAGCCAAGCGCGCCACGGAGCCGAGGTCTTAGAAAACAAAACAAAGGGGAAAGAGGAAACACCTTGTGAACGTATCAAGATGTATCAAGAAACCAGCAGACAAATTAATTATACTTGACCTCGTGACAACATCCCAGTCGTGACCTGAGCCTAGGCTGACTTTGCAGATTCATTTTGATGAAGTGGGCTTTGGGTTTTTTCCATTTTTTTCCTGCTCCCTATTTTCTTCCCTATCTTCCGATATTTTGTCGTCTGACCAGATTCTCCAGCACCGAGAGGCAATTCTCAGAGGCGTCCAAGGCAGTAAGCTCTCCATGGCCTGACGGTGTCCCGGGCTGCAGACTTCAGGCTGATAAAAACGATGGAAAAAATTGCTGATCGCTGTGTTCCAAATCCAGAAAGCGGCTGTATTTTCTCTAAACCAACAGTAACCAACTTGTGTCTGTGCACTTGTTTCTGATTTATGATTCTTGTTTTGAGCATGTTCTCTTGGAACTCGTTTCGGTGTTTGACGGAGTGGGCTGCAGATCCAGAATGGATGCCTGAAAGGTCTGGCAGGGTCAGTAGTCCTCGACCCGCCAAAGACAGCGACAACGGTCCATCCATACTGCGATCCCCATGGCGTTCAACCATAGACTCTCTGCAGGTATCAATCATCAATCAAGGCTGCACTGCTGTCAAAGCTGCACTGCTGGCATTGTGAACCTTTGGATTTGGTTGATTCATGCTGAAAATATCGAGCTTGAGATCAATCAACCAATCCTTCCAACTAGAAACTGCTCTGTGTCAAAGTACCAAGAAAGCTGCGATCAGCAAAAACGTGGAAAATGAGATCCAGTAATTGGTTTCCAGTCAGGAAATCGATGAAGAACTGTGTGAATCTGTGTGAACTGCCTGCAGTTGGTCTAGTCCAGTGGTCCCATGGTGGTCCCACGGTGGTCCATGGGTGAAACCAGTGACATCCGACGACATAGACCACCGACTCCACGGCCGTCACGGCCTCACTGTTGTGGACTTCATAGAGGACGTGCGCCCGTTCTTCTCGCTTTTGCTTTCGCATCCGCCAAAGGCCGACCAAGAGCTGGCGCAGATGCTGAAATCTTTTGAGATTTGAAGATTTACACAATGCCAAGAGGCCAAGAGGTTCAGCTTCCCCAAATCAAGGACGAGTGTGGAAGAGTATGGAAGAGTGAATTCAGTCCCCATCTGATCCTTGTAGTCCAAAACTTTCAAAACTCTTCTTGCTCCTTTTTTCATTGCTGTACACCTTCCTTCAACTTTCTGCCGACATTTCCAGAAAGCAAACTCTGACGGCCTCAACAATCTGTTTCTGCAGAGTCTCAGTGCGAAGCACATACCTGGCAGAACTTCAACTGTCAGATACTGTCAGGCATCGCCTATCGCCTATCGCAGTGATTCCAGTGATCTGTGGCTGTGCCGGGTACTGGCAGAGAGGGCTGTGGTACAGCAGGTAGTTCAAGTCACCAAGCGACCGGAAGTATTTGTCCCAGTCATGGTTCCTGAAGCGACGTGGTCATGTCGAAAGTCGAGTTACACGAGTTACACCTCTCGGAGAAATGCCAAAGAAAACCACGCTACAACGGTACAGAGTGAAGTCTAGAATGAAATCAATAGTGTTTCTTTGGTTCAGTAGTAATGAAATCCATTCTTCATTGCTGTACTTTTGGCAAACTGTGAGAACTCGTGAACATTGTGACAGCCGTAACCCGTATTATCCGTATTGCGACTTGTTCGTGACGCAAACCGGTCACATCGGTCACCCCGGTCACCCCGTCACCGTGGATTAAGGGACTAAGTGCCAGACCCGCTTCTGCCAATTGGTTTGATGACTTTCACGCCGTCCTTCGTCTGAATCAAACTGTTCTGAAGCCTTCGCTGACGTCCGCCATCGCATGAAAGCTTTTAACCGTTTTAACCTTTGTGGACCCGTCTTATCATCTCTTATCCATATGTTCATCCGTTGTCATCCATTCTCATGTTTTCCCATCAACCTTTGTCGCCCGCAAGTGTAGACTCTGCCGGTAATACGGTAAAACACAAATTCTCATCTCAGATTTCAATGTCACTTTACCCTTGCAGCCGCCGCATGGAGGTCTCACTGCATGAACTGATTGACAAAGTGAGCACAGGCCATGAGTGAAAACGGGGATCAATGGACTGTGGACCGGCCGCGGCCGCAACTGCTGCAACGCCATGTAGGATTTCTTACCCCATCCCAGCAGTATACAGTACTGGGACTGCACTTGCTGACCCACTGATCTACCTACATCTCTCCGAATTAGTTCATTAGTTATAGACCACACTGCTCTTTGGTGACTCAGCTATACACTAAATTACAAACATGGTATTCACCACCTGAAAGTGCTCCCGCGCTCGCTGCCTTTGAATCGACTCCACAACAGATTCCAGGATGCGATCGTCCAACAAGTCCAAAGCCACCTCGCAAGAAGTTCTGGGCAAATGACAAGTGCAGTGGTGACATCTGGCGACAAAGCATAGCATGTTTCAGTTTCTGTTGGCTCCTTTGGCAACACTGTGCAACAACATTCTGACTAACATCCCAAACTTGCCTCAGGGATGGTGAACAGCTGCACGCTGAGAGCGGACAGCTCCGATTCCTCCTTGAGACGAGCTGAATCAGAGCTGCACTCAGTGTAAATTAACCACAACAATAACTTTAACATCTTTAACCAGCCGGGCAAGAAGCGAACAAGCATCTGCAAAGAGTATCAATTGAACTCAAAATCCGCCCACACCGCTTTGGCGGTGAAGGCGTGCTTATTGGGGGGCAAAACAGCAACACTAAATGCTCAATGACATTTGTTAATATAGCAGTCGCTATATCAGCTTTAGCTGGGGGGGCCAAAAACGGTTTCGCACCGAGACCAGAATACGGTGGTGTTTTCGACATTTTTCGAGGATTTTTGGGTGTCTGAGCGCAAGAGGGTATTGAAATGGAATTTTGGGTCATTTTGGTAGCTTTCCGGCAATGGAAAAACGGCCAAAAATGAAAAAAAACATTGTACATAGCAAGATTTTGCGGGGTTTTTGGATGCCAGAGCATTGAAAACACTGCAAAAACAAGTGTTTTGGACTGACGTTATAGCAAAAAACGTGTAAATTACCGTATGCTTGACTGGAAACATTACGGGGGGGAAAGTGAAAATTCCCTAGCTTGGGGAGCCCCCACGGGGGGGAAAAGTGAAAATTCCCTAGCTTGGGGAGCCCCCACGGGGGGGAAAAGTGAAAATTCCCTAGCTTGGGGAGCCCCCACGGGTGGGAAAAGTGAAAATTCCCTAGCTTGGGGAGCCCCCACGGGGGAAAACCACCCTTGGCCCCTCTCACGGACCGAAATAAACCTGCGGTGTGGGCGGCCACCCCACGCGAAGCGGGGTGAATAGACTGCCACAAGTTCTGAAAAATGAGCCTAACTTTGAACGAAATCCTTGGAAATCTTCTGGTAGTTCTGCGCATAGATCTTGGAGAAACGTCGCTTGAAACGCGGAGATACCTGGCATGAATAGAGATGAAATCGTGCAGGAAACGGCAAAAGAGACTGCAAGACATGTCCCATTGTCAGCGGCTCGGCCACAAGACTTTGAAAAGGAGACCGACTTGGCCGACAAGGAGCAGAAAACTTTTCAGATGTTTTGTATTTACCGTGGTCAAGAGATTGTACATGGGCTATGGTCATCCACCATCATTAGGGATTCCTTGACATGGGTATGTCAACCCAAGAAAATCACCTCCTAAACTTCAGGACTTTTGGTAGTGTCAGCGAAATTGTTCCCTTTTCTGCCGTTACTACCACCTGGTGTGATGATTTACAACGAAGAAACCTCGTTTCTCATCAGAAAAGTGAGTTTCTTGGGGTGATGGCTCTGTCGCACCTGGACATACAGCAGGAAGAATCGTTCCATCGCTTGAGCGAGCTTTGCAGGTGGCGCCATCCACAAGTTGATCCGGTCACCTCCACGGGCAACGGCAGATCCAAAACTCGGTGATCTGACAACTAATTTGGAACTCAAAGCCAGACATAGATAGATAAATTGGATAAATGTAAATGATAAATTGATAGTAGCGACTTATAGATGTGATAACTAGAACTATCTTCCTATCTTCCACTGTGCACCTTGCAGCTGTTCCTGCACCGGGAATCGAAGACCGATGACTTCCTTGGCGGAAACCAGTGGAAACCAGTGGAAACCGGTGGAGACCCTCGAGCTGAAAATTCGGAAACTGATACCATTGAGCTTCACCAAACAAACCAGTGAAGCTCCGACTTCTGTTGCAAATGAGCTTCACCAAACCGTTGAAGGAGCTCCAAAATCTCAATGACCTTGCCATTCACAATAGCCATTGCATCAGCACCAGATCTACAAGACTGGTGCACCAAGGCAGTGTTTGAACTCTGGTAATTAAGCTCAGAACTGGGATATCACTACAAGTAGGAGGTTGTCAACATCTCTTGACTTAAAGCAATTCTTCACGTTTCACCGAATACTTTCAGAATTCTCTGCTGTTCGTTCCATGGAAAGTCCAAGGTCAAAATATGCCAGAGAAACACACACCCGCATCTTTCAAAAGACTTTCGACGAACAGAACAGACGCACCTGCTCGCTGCAGGTGTCATCAGATTTCTTCACACAGGTGTCAACCTGCGAAAGACACAGCCCATTCAAGAGCAATTGGATAGTATTCAACTCCACCCAACACACATACCTTGGCGTTAAGGGATCTGGTAAAATGAAACCAAGCCGGAGGAGCAGGACTCTGTTGTGCTTGACAAAACAGTTGGGCGGCGGAGGCATTTCATCCCAGAACAAAATCTAAAGCAAAGGAAACACTTGTCCTGAAATCTCTTGCCTCCGGCTCATGTGCGTATACTCTATGAAACTTCAGGCCCCAAGAAAACTTTCGGCTTCTCATGGACATCAATGTCACTGCCGCCTGCTCCAGCAATTGTGGAAGTAGACGTTGGGCCCCCATCAGAATCCTGCTCTGTGCATGAAGTGTCTCCAAGTCCCATAAACTCCAAAGAGTCAAAAAGAAATGGATCCTTGGTTCGTGGCCATACTCTTCAGTGGCAAATGTGTTTGATGTTTCCTGTCCTCTCAACCCGGGTGTCGTGTTCTGGCCTTCGTATCCTACACTGACGGCACTCACACCACTGGGGGCCCTAGCACTGGTGGGAGGAGTTCCAAAGCTTCTGCACTGTCCAGCCTGCGATAGGCCACAAACCTACAATATCCTATGATTCAAAATACAAGAAGAAAATTCTGCTGAAGAAGAAAATCAGAGATGATGTAAAATTCAGGACCCATGTGGTACCACGGATGAATACATCAACAGGAAGGCTGTGCGTGTGTTTTTTGAGACTAAATGGTCATTTCCCTGGACTAGCCGAGCTCAATATCAAGTCTACTGTTCGTCATTTGTCTTTCTGATGGCATCTGTCCAACGGTAGCAGAGTCATCTGGTCTGATCAAAACAGTAACATTGCGATCACCGACCTTGCCGGAGTTTCGCAATGCTCGGGGCAAAAGCCGTGAGGATCCCAAGACGCAGGATCGCCGCCTGAGCGTCGCAGACACGGTGCCAAAACACGGTGAGGACAACACGCTTGGACCCCGGCAATCACAGGAGCCCCCAACGGTGCGGATCATTTGCACCTCGTGGCCTTCATGCTTGGCCTCCCAGGTGTGCTGAAAATCAAGGAGACTACACTTGGAACATGACACTAAGAACATCCAGCTGGCTCACAGTTGCCATGCTCATCAGCTCCAGGCCTTGAAAAAGCAATCGCTGCACTGCACGCAGTTATTGTCCAGCTCCTCAGTGCCATCCGGCAGCCGGGTCAGACCCATACGGATTATGTCTGAAACCCAAGATCCAACGCCAAGATAGCCTGGATCTATCACGTTTCCAAACATGAAAAAACTTACATGGAAAAATGAAAACCCAAAAATGAGTGGCCACTTTGGGTGCAACTGATGTTCAACACAAAAGTGACACTCCACTGTGCCGGTTTTGTCAGTACGTTAAGTGTTCTTTTTGCACCAAACTGTTAATACAAGTTAACTCGTTCAGAAACCTTAATCAGATAACTTGATTGGAACCATTGCTTTTGAGACCTTTTGAATTTGAACAAAGATTGGAAGCAAAGCAACTAGCGGCTCAACCAACTGCCGATCCAAGTTGCACAATCCAAACATCGGAAGGCAACCTCCTGCACGCTCAATCTATTGAATACTTTCAAACGCAAAAAAGTACAAAAATGATCCCAGCTACAAAAGGGACTTACTAACAAAAATGCGCAAGAAATGATCCAATCCACATTTTTCCTCAATCAAAAGTATCAAAAGCCTGCCTGTGATCTCCACTGGTTGGGACAAACTCCGGCTTTCGGCTGTTCTTCTTTCAGTTGCCCTTCTCGTAAAAGTGCTTCCTCCTGGCAGAGATGATCAGCCAGGTTTGGCACGAACTTGGGTCAGTACCAGCAGCAGCCCTGTGGCAAAAGCAGATTGAAACATAAATGTGCGTTCAACCCATGACTACTTCCTACGTGGAAATATGTTGAGTTGTTGAGTATCTTTAGGTGAAATCATGTGAAATCCACAACAAAGTCTCCCGGTCAAACCAATCAAAATTCTGATCGAGTCTTTGCCGCAGGGCACTACACTAGCTGCATTCCGCCCTCGCTCCAATGTGGAGACACCATAGAGTTCTGCTTGAAGTTTTTTTAGATTCCTGGGCAAGGTTGTTGAATGCGAAACCCCCGACCGTCCAAATTGAGGAGAAAAAATGAATCCAATAACATTCCACACTTCGGCAGGTTTCGACTTTGTGGTTGCTCCTCAAAAACCTTGACCGTGCATTGGATTGTCAATTCGCTAATCTAGTCTATCAGTTGCTGACCGTCAATAACCATGCCATCAGCGTCTAAGTTCTCCCATTTTGGCAATCCCATGTTTCTTCAAAACGATGCCACGCTGAGGTGGCAACATTTGAGGTTCTGCGAATCTGCTGCGCAACGAGGAAACAAGGTCTTTCATCAGATTGAAATCTGGAATGTGTTCCCTCACAACTCATACGCATCTCAAGAATGGTAGAGCATATTGCAAACGCGGCATGCCTCTGCAGCTGATAATTTCAATATATTTCGATTCCATGATGAAAAAAATAATGAAAATTGCAATTGAGAGTTGAAACCATTCATAAACCACACTGGCAAATAGTTGTTATATCCTGGACTTTGGGCAAAAAGTCCTTTGAGCAAAAGCAGTCAAGGGAGTGTTGCCTCTGTATGTAGTTTGTCTGCTCGTGAATCCACATGTGCAAGAGTTCGCGACCTCCCACCCTTGAACGATCATGTGCAGTGTTGATGATTGCGACAACAGTTCACATGATGCAGCGCCAATGTGAATGGATTTGGCAACAGTGGATGCACATGTTTTCCATCTTTGCGCGCATTTCGTGTGTAGTGCATGTGTTCAAGTCGGCCGCTGAAGCCAATACGGTGTTGAGCGGCGGCTCTTGACTTGCTGAGCCGCTATGGACAGTCGCGACCTCAAATCCCATCAAGGTTGGTCAACCATGTCACCCAAAAAAAATGATCAGTCACTTGAAGAAAGCACAAGCATTATGAAGCATTCATGACATGACACTCAAAATCAATGCACCAAAAGAGGTACCAGGGCAGCTCTTTCGACCAGACTGAAGTCAAACTACCTACCACCTACTCACTGATTGGATCTAGATTTCTTGAAGCCGTTGGGAGGTTTGGTGCTCTCCGCTTTTCAACAGTCATTGGAAAATTGTCAGATCATGCCGGACAAACAGAAATCAACAAATTGAAAGCTGCAATGATCCCTAGAAACCGTTTATAAGGAGCGTCAAACCCTACAGAGCTTTCAAGGTCCCACGTTTATTAAACCGTCACAGCATCACTGTGACATCCCCCGCAACCGTGGAAGGCGGCCATCCTGGGCCAGATCAAACTGCGGCGATCAGTCCGCCTGCAGCCGAAGAGAGGGAATCAGCTATTCCCACGAACGTCTCCTGTAGGGAGATGTTGTCCACCGACCGCATGGAGCTGCTGGCTTTGGCAAAACAATCTTCGGAGGTTGCCCGGGACCGCGCTGCTTGTGCCATCTGTGACAACACAGCTGAGCCTGAATTGTCCTTTGCCGGGAATTGCACAGTGTGCAAACGGATGGCTTTTCCCGGGGTTCTCCTGGCAATCGTGGCAAAGAGCTTGTTGAGATCCTCTTGGGGGAACGCATCATGGCCATCTGACAAGAACATCACCATTGAGCGGTGCTCGACAGATGTCTGCTGCACAAGTGGGATCGTTGCAGCCATGGCCCTAGCAAAACTCGTCCCATGTTGTGCGTTCAGACCTTGAAGCCATTGTAGGCAAGTGTTGAACTGCGAGATTGGAACCATAGTCGGTCCATTGCGGACCTCTTTGTCGAAGGCCAGCAATGAGATTCTATCAACAGGGCTGCTATGCTGTCTCTTTTCCACGAAGCTTTGAACAGCAGCGAGGGCACAGCCTAAGCGATTGGGATGAGAGCTTCGCCATGGCCGAGTTTCGGGCTTCACATCTTGCCTGCCCATTGACGAGGACTTGTCAATCAGGAAGATCGTATGGACTGGTTGACTGCCCCGATGTGTGCAGCTGAAGTGATGTCCGTCTAGGGACACAATTCCACCATGCTGTGCAACGTAGGCCTTCCCTTCCTGATCTGAAAGTGCTGGATGCCACAAGGGCAAGGTGCAAAATGAAGGCTGCTCACCATCCTTCATATGGGAATCATGTGGGCAAAAGTGGTTGCATTTGCTGAAGATTTCTTTGTCTTCATTGGAGCATGGGTCTTTGAAGCCCGTGCTTTCCCAGAATGCCTCATGGGTGAACTCATCCTTGGGAATGTCAGGGTTGGGCTTGTATTGACGTGTGGAATGTCGTCTTCCAGGCATGGCTGATATGTTGCAGCACTGCTGCCCACTTCGCCCACGGGAGTAGTTAGTGCATAGCTTCACATGGGTGTGTCCACCTGGGCGACAATGAATGATCGATGTGAAGATACAGTAGAGTGCACTAGCTCAACACCGGCTTTTCAATCTACCTTTTGACCCTGCCTGCCCAAACAAAAAACATTGGTATCCGAATGTGGCATTGCGTAAAATTCTCACACATGTCACACAAGCCATTTCCTGGTCAAAATTGAGACCAACTGTCAAGGAAAGTCAAATAGAACAAGTAGATATTCCTGAACAATCTGAGGCTTCCACGTCCAGCTCGGTGACAATACATGTTGCACATCTCTGCCACCCCAGACTCCGCGGGGGCATACTTGCGAGATCCCACTTGGAAGACATCCTCATCTGACACGAAGTAAGTGCGACGCATGTTGCCGTGGCGAGTGTCATGCTCTCCTGAATGCTCCCAAGGTAAGGTGCAATAGTAGCCACATGTAGGGCATTTCAGATTACAGTAGTGCACTAAGTTCTCAGTACTCGAATGTATGTGTTCGCCCTCATGTTGGCGACTCTTGGGCGGGACGACGTTGCAACAACCCTTGCGGACTCCGTTCTGCTCGGTTTCAATTGCATCGTAGTCGAAGGCATCGTGCTTGCCAGAGAACTTCTGCTTCTTGACCACGAGTTCCGAATATATTTCGCAGATTCCTGGTGCTTGACACTCATGCGGGCATTGGTGCGGCTGATCACACATGCACCCGTGGCCAGCAGAGTCTTTCGTATGAAAATGATCCTGCACGGAGCACATGAAAGTACAATTGGGAAAAGTGCACTTGTTCGGGCAAACGATGACATGGCACTCACACCGATCATGCATTGAGTCGTGGGGGAGCACACAAGGATGGGGGCAGCTGCTGAGGGCACACGGCTTCCCACAATAGTGCTTCATGGATCCGCAAAGATGTGGCTCGTCTGCTGAATGCCCAGGCTTCAGTACACAGCGCCCTGCACAATTTCCCAAAGTGTTGAGAGAGCAATCAGCGCCGCATGTGTGGCCCAAATCTCCACAATCGTGTTCGGCAGAATGCCCAGCGGGTTGCACACATGCTGAAGCAACACCTGTAGATTCACAGTAGCGGCAAAAGGCACGGCACTTGTGATCTGTACCACAGTCATGGGACTGCTCTCTGTGAACCACTGGGAGCGCACAAGGCAGGCGGCATGTTTCGCAGTTTTGCCCACAAAGACGCAATTTTTGTAAAAGCCTAGCAGGATGCTTGGTCACCAAAGCTGCTGATGGATTCCATGTTCGGGGCCATATCTATTCTTTTGCTGCTAGTTGTCCTAGGCAGTCTAATTAACTAGGCTCAACAGATCCCTCGGGGCACACAATGACTATCAACCACGACATACTTCACAACATTGCTGGAAAATGCAAAGCCTAGCCAGGACCGTCTTGGCGACCATCACCAAACGCTGCGCATCTCCTTCGCCAGCCACATGCTCCACGTTCGCTTCAAGCCAAGCAACGATGCGTTTTTGCCGGCGCCGCGCTAAAGCTTGCAATCCCCACGTCCAATCCTCAAGGAATGGGCCAAGCGAAACTCAATCCTACTGCTAGTCTCAAAGTTCGTTTCATGTGCAGCTATTTTTGACACAGAATCTTCCCTCTGTGTTTCCCAAGCTGCTCTTCAGAGTTGTCCTTCATGCGTGACGAGTAGCTGAGCATTTGGGCGCCACTTCCTTGAGCTTGCTAAGTAGGCCTGCCATGATATCAGAGGGCACATCAACCTCCAAGACGCCATCTTGGTCGTGAACGATCGCCAACTTTAAGCCCTCATCTGGCAAAGTTGAGAGGATTCGGCTCTCATCGCTGCCCATATCAGATTGGTCACCTTCATTTCCTTTGTCAAAGAAAGTCTTGTTGGTGCGCAAGTGCAGCAAAGGGATGGGGCCGTCCTGCATTCAACTTTGAAAAGAGTGGAGACTTGCTAACGGTAATATAGTTAGGTTAGGGCATGCCCATCCGCCCAATATTGAACAACCTGCCAACCCAACCCCAACACACAGAAAAATTCAAACAACCCATAACCCATAATCACAAAAAAAAATCAAATAATCCCCAAACCATGAATCAACAAAAATAATTCTGAAACAACTCATCAACAGACAATTCATAAACAAAAATTTCAATGAACCCATCAACCAATATCATTCTATAACATTTTTCAACAAGATAATCATCTCAATAATTATCTTGAACAAAAACCATCCAATAAAATTATTCCATGAACATACCAACAGAATTATTCAATAAACCAATCAACAGAAATCTTCAACAACCAATCCCACAAAAATTCAATCAACCCATAAACCAAAAATTATTCAAACAGATAATCAAAATATTAATTCCTAAAAATTATCTTCATTGTAAAGGGGCATGGTGTCCCTTGTAGAAAAATAGTATTTATCAAAACTTGTCCTTTCATTATGTTATGCTAATCTTTCTTTAAGTATAGTTTATAGTAAATATATTTATACTGGTAATTATCTACAACTGCAATTACAGCGGACACAGTAAGGAACAATATTATCTAATGTATGTGTCAGCGAATTATTTACCCTTTGAGCACTTAAATTACTACTTATATTCCCCTTATTTATATTCAAATAAAATCCACATCCACAGTAGTTACATTGGTTATTTATATTATCTATGAACCATTGGCTATTAACATATCCTTGCTTTGGGATTTTTCTCTTTGCGCTTCTATCTTGTATTTTGTAATTTCATTTTTTCTCTCAAAATAGCTCATTATACATTGTTTATTTAAATCATCACTTTTATCAGTCTTGTATCTGAAAAACTTGACTCTATTTAAATCCCTTGCTCTTGTGATGCATGTATAAATCCATTCAGGGTAGTCTTTTACTGAAAAGTGATTATAATCAAATATAGTTATATCAGTATCCACTGATGCACCTTGCATTGAATGAGCTGTAGCGCACCATGCAAAAATAAAATTCTTTCTTACCTTCTCTATGGCTAATGTATTAACTGCTTCTGTCTTGACATTTTTCAGACTTAATTTATGCCTATCAACACCTACAATTTCATATTTAAAATTTACATTGAAATTTGCTTGAATAGTTTTAGTGAATTCTCTGCATATGAGGTATTCACCTACTTCATATTCATCTCTTGAATTTTCTAATTTCCTTATTTCCCTTGATACATTCTTGCATGTATCATTTAAATATGCAATGTTATTAGGTGATGCTGTGATGTCATCAGTGTATGAAAAATATTTTTCAATAATATTTTTTGTGGATAGTATTTTTCAAAAATGTCTCTTTTGATATTTGTGAGCTTATCCTTATCTTCTTGTGTATGCAATCTCTTGCATTCTTTCAGGACAATTTTATATTCAAAAATATTCTCAACAATTTTATTAGCATAGTGTTCATAGTCCTGTGTATTAGTCAGTTCTTGCACTGGTTTTAGTTGTTTAGCGTCACCTGTTGCAATAATAATTTTGTTGTGCTTATTCTCTTCGGTAAATTGCTTTATTTTCCAGTAAGTGCTTAAACTACTAAAATATACTTCATCAAATACTATGACATCATCATAACTATAATCATATGGTTCTAACTTTACATCACCAAAGCTAATACCAAAAAACTTATTAATTGTCATGGCATGACCTTCAAAGGATTGTAGAAGCCTATTAGTGGGACAAACAAAGACAACATTATAATTTCTTTCTACCATTCTTTGACAAATATAGCTCTTGCCTGTTCCTGCAAAAAGCCCTAAAATCATTACCGGATTGTTTTTAACAATATGTGTATCAATAATATCATCTGTATCATATTCATCTTTTATCATTAGTTTTTTGCATTCATACACTGGTATATCTACCTTATCATTCTCAACAATTTCATATTTTGTAGTTGGTAATTTTATGTCTTCTCCTTCTTTGCTTACTCTCCACCCTCCCACATCATCGTGAAAATCTAAAAGCCCCTTTGCTCTTTCTACATTGAATGTGTCAATTACAAATGCATCAGTCTTGACACTATGCACATGAACGTTATTTTTAATCAGTTTGTAGAAAGCTTGTTGCATTTTACAATTATGATGTTGCAATAATAGTTCTTTAATGTATTTAAACCCATTCTTTAATTCTGCCTTATCCTTCAAAATCAATATGTAGTAGTCATTACTTTTTCCTGTTAATTGCTCACCGTATTCATCCAACATCTCTACATCACTTAATCTGTTAAGTTTGCCACCGTATTCTGATTGAAATGCTAATGCTTTACTTAAATTTTTGAAAGCTAAACTCTTTTGAGAAGTAGAGCCTCCCTTTTCCAATAAACCAAAATTGACATTAGGAATGAGTTGTTTAACACCTTTATCTATTTCAAAATCATCACTGATAGTCATTGCATTCAATTCATCTACGGTAAGCTGATAATCAACTTTATGAATCCTTGATGGCTCTTTGTATGCAATGATTTTAATATGCCTTCCCATTTCCCCCATCCCCATCCCTTCCCACTTTTTGAACTTAAATGTGTGTGTGTGTGTATCTTTCTTAACAAAATCCTTCAAAAACACCCCATAAACTAAACACATTCTTTTGTTAAACATCATTTGAGTTTGTGCTGGTAAAGCGTATTCATCAATGAATTTATCAACATCTTCTGCACTCATAATTCTGAGTTTATCCTGCCTAATCTGTTCAATTCCCTTAGCTGCCCCTTCAGAAATACTGCCCCACAATATATCAACATAATATAAAGTCAAATCATGCAATTTTTCAATATCAATGCTCTCATCATACTGCTTCCATAAATCAAACTGTGTAAAAACTGGAATTTCATTTATGCTGACATATGCATGTTTAAATGCTTTGCTTACATCTAACTCAGTGCATCTATGTAAAGTAAGCTTTAGAAATCAACCCTGATGGAACAATAGTCCCTGCTTCCTTGAATATGTTCATATCAATATCATTGTAAAAGGATGTATGCAATGGATTAAATAAAGCTTTGTTAAAATTAAAGAATGCTACGTTCATATTATTATATGTTTTCTCATCATTAAGTGTGATACATCCATCACATGAATCTTTCAACAAATTTTGTGTTTTGATTACATACCTTACATTGTTAAAATCTAACTTAATGTTTGTTATAATCCCTGCTTGGTGTATGATTTCTGGTTCATAACCGCTATTGATTGAGTCAAAGAAGGCTTTTGTTAAACTGTTATCCTCCATAACCATGTTTACTTCTTTTTCATCCTCTCCAACTTCAATCTTAAGTATGTCATCAATATGTTTTATCATTTTAAATTTACATGGTTCTTCTTTCTCATTCATGTAGTAGTCAGTGGTTGCCTTGACTATTGGAATTTCGCATATTTGCTTTTGTTGGATGCGTTTAAGGTCATGGTTTAATACATAAATATGACTGTGCTTAACCATTGCGTAAAAAGTTTTATGATATGATGATTTCTTTTTGGTGGGTCATATTGATATATCAAATGGTTTAAAAGAAATGAATATTCTGACTTGGATATTGTATTCTTCAAAGACTTTTTGCATATCTGTGATTGATGCCCCCTTTTCATAAAAGTCTTTCTTATCAATCAGTTCTATTATTCTTTCAGCTGTTAGTCTTTTTTTAGTTCTTTCACTCATAAGTGTTTCACCATAAAAATCTGTCAATGCATTTACCCAACACATATTTTTTTGATAGTGTCCTTTCTGTATTGCTTCCTTAATGGTCGGTGCTTCCATTTGAATAGGGGTGTTAATATACCTATGATAGATACTAACATTTTCTGCATCAGTTAGGTTCTCTGTCATGATGTTGAAGTGCTCACCTTTTTTATTCACTAATTCTACCTTTCTAATTTTAATACATCCAAGGTCATCATAATGTGCTGTCAAATGCTTAATTGTGCTATCAAATTCCTCATCAGTGCTCATCAGTTCAATTACTTCTTTCCACTCTTTATCTTCATGTTCAACCCTTCCCCAATTCTCAAAATCTGTCCACCTAAAAATTATCTTACCTATCCATTCTTTTGGAAAATTAGGCGCTTCTACGGTGGCTGTTGTTATTTCAAAATCAACTGTGAAAAAATGAATGCCTTGATATGTGAAAGAGGGTTTTTGTTTAATATTGCTTTTTTCAAATCACCTTTGAAATATTCATATAGGATAAAATCTACAAAATAAGTTTTCTTTTCCTTCTTTTTCTTTGCTTCTGCCCTTCTTTCTTTCAGTGGTTTTGTGTCCTTCAATTTACTGATATTATCTTTATATTTTTGAAACGTTTTGTCCTAAACTTTTTTATTGGTGGAAGTTAAGCCTTCGATATAATTTTCTGCGGTTGCTACATTTGAAAGCTTCCTTTCAGTGTATAGTCTTATGATTTCATCAATTCTCTTTTTATTTGCTTGAGTGGTTTTGTCATTTATTTGTTTGCGTTTTAGCTTTTTCAGTTCCGAGATGTTTCTTTCAACAAACTTATTCATATAACAATGTATATATATATATATTAGGTAATATTTCTTTCAGTAGTTTTTCAAAGGAAATATTTTTAAAACTAAATATGTTTGAAAAACATAAACCTTACAATTAAGAATTTAATTGTAGGGATTATGGATTAGTCTTTTACAAATGTCTCAATACATCATCTTCAATTCTTCTTTTAATTTTGTCAATAGTTTTTTTTCATTATATATGTTATTGCCTATTGGTTCGTGAAACCACCTTCTCCAGTTTAATATTCTATAAAATGCCCATTTTAGTTTTGAAACATTCAAGTTGTCATTCAAGACAGCTTTTTGAACATCAATTTCTGTATAGTATAAGTCCTCTTCTTTAAACGCCTCATAGTATAAGCTTTTTATCATATTGATATATGTGTTTTCAACATCC